CTCTTCCCCACGGCGCTCTTCACCACGACACTCTTCACCACGACACTTTTCACCACGACACTCTTCACCACGACACTCTTCACCACCAACTCTTTCGTGGAGCTGAGCAGGCTCGGGGCTTGGAGAAGTGGAAGCCCTGAGAGTCCAGGTGTCAGAAAAGCAGCGTCTCCTGGCCCAGCGGCAGTTTCCTCGCCAGTCATGCTTTAGCGCCCCGTGGGCTTTCTGTGGAGAGGTCTGAAAGTGCTTGCTTGTTTTCACCCCCTTTTACTGCCCCTCCCCTCAGGTGCCTGGATGTCACAGGTCGGAACGCTCTGGACCCCTGAGGACTCTGCTCAGGGCCCAGGAGCAGCTGCTGCCTCTGGACAACCTCGCAGGCCTCTTCTCCACCCAGGGCATGGGCACCCGTGATGATGTCCTCCCAGGTGAGGGGCACCAGAAGGGCCTGTTCCTGGCAGGTCCATTAGGAACAGGGTAGAGGTCCTCCTGGAGACTCCCAGGGGCCAGGCTCTGCCGGGGTGATGTGGCCAGCGGCCATGCCTTCCCAACTCGCCAGCTGTCCATGCGCTGACACGGGCCCTCCCTGCTCAGCTGCTGTCTGGGCGGCTCCCTGCACAGAGCGAGCGTTGTACACAGCTGCGGGGACAGATGACATGTCTGCCCAGACGGGGAGGTTAGAGAGAAGGTAGAAGATGAGAGTAGGATGAGCTGAGGGGTGCTTGGAGACTTCCAAGGGTGGCCATTGGCCATGTAATAGAGTGTTCTCTGCAACTAGGGAAACTGGTCTGGCTGAAGCTGCAGGGTCGGGGGTTGTCTGCAGTGGGTGGCAGTAAGGAGGTGGCAGTGAGAGTGGCTAGTGGGGCTGAGCACACCGGGGTTAGCCTGTTGGGGTGCTAGGGCAGAGGCCCATGAAGGACACTGAGAAGGCAGGTCAGGAGGTGGAGCAGAGCCAGGGAGAGCAGCTGGGAGGAGGGAAGGAGCAGTGAGGTCAAGAGGCTGGCAAGTGGGGCAAGTGGGGTTTGGTGGGGTCATGGGAGTCCCTGCCTGGCGGTGTCAGGGTGGCCCCCAGCTGTGGCTCAGGCTCTGGTATGGAGGCTGGGGCCTTGGTTCTTTCAAGGGTAGCCTATGTCGGGGTATGGCCCCTAAGGAGCTGCTCTCCTGTGGTTCTGTCCCAGCCAAGGTTCTGGCCCCTGTGGCCGTGTACTGTGGGACTGTCCCTCGGACCAGTGCTGGGCCCCGGGTGCTCCAGCCTGGAGGCATCGACTCCACTTTGCCGGCTTATGGAACAGGTGAGTTGTGGACCCAGCCTGTGACTCAGCAGCACCAAGTGGCCTTTGAGTGCCCTGAGCAGTGCCGCTGGGGACATTGGGCCTAGGGTGAGATGGGGTTCTACCTGGCAGCTGCCAGTCAGGGCCACTGACCATGAGGCAGAGCTCGGACTTCCTCTGTAGGGAGGGCGTGGGTATGTTTCTATGCCTAGCTGGGTTCTCGAACTCCTGCCGGTGCTATTTTTCTCATGGCTCCTGCTGGACATGGCCTTTGGTTTCAGAAGGTTCTATCAACTCTGGGCTGCAGGGAATGAGGGTGCACAGAGGGAGTCCCACAGAAATAGGGAAATGGGGCTCTTAGCACAGTGTTGACTCTTCTAGGAGCCCAAGGACATGAGCCCAGGAGGACAGGGTCTGTGGCCTGCTGGGCCCACGCCCTGCAGCCTGGGAGGCCATCCAGCAGGGAGGCAGTGCATCTTAGCACAACAGTGGCCAGAGCAGGGGTTTTCATGACTCCCACTCAGTTGCCTGCCACTTTCTGCTCTGGCTCCCACTGTAGACAGCTTCTCCGCAGAGCTCCGGCCCATTGTTTGGGATGGAGACTCAGATTGTTCCGGCTAGCTGCCCCCTCCCAGGCCAGCACCCTCACAGGCCCATGGTTGGCCCAGACTTCAGCTTTCCTTGGGTCTGGTGCCAGCTGTGGGCCAGTATCTGGGGCCTGGGCACCAGGGTCTCAGCTTACATGACCACACTCCAGGCAGGCTGCAGTGAGGGAGAGCTTTGGAAAGCATCTATTATTGGCTTTCCCTTGGTCCCCTTGTTCCAGGGCTCCCCTGAGGCCCAGCTCATACTCTGTCACTTCCTGAAGATCTCCGGATCATCCTTCTCTCTGAGTGTGCAAAACATTTGGTTTCTACCTCTCTGACATGCCTCATGCTAGCCTTGAAGCTATTTGTGGACCTGTCTTATTCTTCTAATGGATTCAGAGTCCCTTAATGACAAAGACTCTACCTTGGCCATCGCTGTCATCTCTACCACCTGGACAGTGCTTGACACTAGATGGGGTTGTTGGGAAAGTCATGGTGTGTTTTTCTATGTAAATATGTACCATGACTTTTCTGACAACCCACAGCTGCTTAGTAAGTGCCTTGGTGAGTGAGGGATTAAACTGGTGTCCACATACGAGCACGATGTGTTCTGAATCACCCCAACTTGGTTTAATCTGCGTTCACTGTAGAGCAGGTGCTCGATCATGCCAAGTGAATTTGTTGGGTCCCGGAGATTGGTGGATGGTGATCCCCGGAAGGTGGCCTTTCTTAAGTCTTTATGACCTCCCATCTGTCCTGTGATAGGACAAGTTGAATCTTCCATTTACCACCCCCTCCCGAGTGCCTGATGGCCCAGTCTTATTCAGGTTAGGTGCCCCACAGACACTGCAGAGTGGCAGAGTGACTGGACCACCCCAGGAGTGACTAAAACGCTGGATGGCCGGGTCGCCAGGCAGCTGGTGTTTCAAAAAGCAGTGCTGAGGAGCTAGCTGGCTGGTGCCTGGAGCTGCCCCGGGCACTGCGAGCCCAGCCGCTCATGCATCTCTCTCCCTAGCTTCCCTCCCGCCCATGCCGAGTGTCCTGCGGACCAATTAAAAGCCACCACAGCTCTCGAGTGGACATGGGAACCTGGGCAACCTCAAACTGGACACCTCTTTGAAGGGCTGGCAGGCCAGGAATGGTCACCCCAGGAGCCTCGGGGCCCTGCCTCTGGGGCCCCTCCCCTCACTGGAGTTGGAGGCCAATAGCGTGGCCCGAGACACCACCCAGATCAAGGACAAGCTCAAGAAAAGGAGGCTCTCTGAAGGCTTGGCAGCATCCTCCCGAGGTGAGTCCTGGCCCCAATTTATGTACCACCCACCCACCCCAGGGTCAGGGACCCCAGGCCACTGGAGCTGTGAGGGACAACAGGTGTCCAGGTGGTGTGCTGAGACCCATTCAGGGCTGGCTGGTGGGCACCTGCCTAGTGCCTTAGTGACCTCCCTGGAATACCTCCTCCCTCCTGGGTCGCTGCATAGCTTCCCCATTGGCTTCCCCATTTCCGCCCTTGCCTTGCCTTGCCAGAAGGATCCTTTTTAGATAGCACGGTTCCTCCTGCTCCCACCATGCTTAAAACCACCCTGTGGGGCTGGATGGTGGCACCACAGTAAAATGTGACCCTGCGTGAGGCTGAGCCACATGGGAAGGGGCTAAGTTCATGTCTGGAGGTCTCCCTGAGTACATGGGACACATGCGTGCCCATGATCCCGGTGACTGAAGCTGGGGGTGGATCGCAGCGCCAAGACCCTGTTGAGGGGTGCTGTCTTTCTGTCTCTCTGTTTCTCTCTTGCTCATGGGAGAGATGGATAAACAAGCAAACCGTCCAGTGGTTTTCAGGTGCACTGGGAGTAAGATCCCCACGTTCACATAGGCACAAGGCCCCCTGGTCCCTTACCTCCCTGCGTAGTTCTTTCCCCATAGTCACTGCTCGTCAGTCCCTGGAGCTTGTCCTGTCTGAGGCTTTAGAACATTGCTCCTCCATCCCTCACTTGCTAATCTGTATTCATCATCCCCTTTGGGCTCCAAGGTCGCTTCCCAGCCCAACTGTCCACCCCCCAGATGCTCTCATGGGCTGCCCTGTGGTTTCCTCTTCAGCTCTTTTCATTTGTGTTTGTGTATGCACTTGATTTGAAGCCAGAATTCTGTACTTGACTGCAGTCCCTAGGAGGTCAGGGCCTGAGTGCTCAGCGGGAGGCATAGCTGCCAGGCATCTAGGAGGCTCTCAAGAGATGTTCATTGACTAGATGAGTGAAGGATTAAACGGAAAACGTTCTCCTCCCCTGCCATAAGGGAAGTGGGCAAACAGTCAAACAGTCCAACTCAGCCCCAACGCTTTCTGGCTCGGGGGCTTCAAGCCTCAATTTCCTCCTCCTGTAATAGGGGTGCTAATACTTCTGCATTACTGTGGGGATTTAACAAAAAACTGTACACAGAAGATGGCCCATGGTATATGGGAAGAACTTAAAAAAATTTTAATTTCCTTTTTCTTCTTCTCCTGGGCAAATCGTGCAACTAAGTCAGTTTTGGTGGACACACTCTTGGGCGACAAGAGGAGTAGAAGCACGGTGTCTTAGGAAGAGAGGGGAATGTGCTCTTGAGGGGAGCATAGTTAAGCCTGTCAAACCTGGGGTGCTCATTGGCTGCTCCCTCGTTAAAGCTTTTCCCTAGAGCCGTGGGTGTCTCTGGCTCCCAGAGAGTCCCTGCTGAATAGTCACCCTGGCCAGATGGACAGTGGGGAGGCAGCAGATGGGCCAGAGTGTCCGAGGAGTTTCCTTAGAATTTCGGGGTGGTGCAACTGCCAGAGTTGCCAGACCAATGACTCCCTCCCTTAGAGGTCTGAATCTTTTGCTAGGCAGTTTATTTCATTTTAAAAGTTCCAGGGGAGGAAAAGAAGACTAGGAGTTATCCCACTTAATATAGAGCTGGAATGTGACCTATTTCTAATCAGGTCTCTCTGCAAGTGTGGAGGGACAGGGATCTCTTTCCCCCAGGGCAGGGTCGGGGCTGCCCTGGCCACCTGCCATGAGGTTGTGTAGGCTTTTTCATTTTTCTGCCCAGGTGGGACCCACGGTGGCCAGGTTGGTGGCATTGTTTCCACCAGGACTGCGACCTCTCTTTCTCCACTCTTCACTACCCCAATAGAGTGGACAACAACATAGCTTTTTTCCTGGACGGCTAAGCAGAGCCAGCCCTGGGCCATTGGCAAGGAAGGAGGTGTACAGAAACAGAACAGATATTTTGACTTGGCTGATTTTCTTTTAAAGTTTATTTTTTCATCTGTGACAGAGAAAAACACACAGGTAGCTCCAACAGGGTCCTCACGACATCATCCACCTCCAGTCTCAGCCTGCCCAGACAGGCACACACAGCCAAAATATCTAGGGAGGTCTTGGGACTTGAACCAAGACTTTCCTCATGTGGGTCCAGTTGCATTTCTGCTGCACCATCTCTTGGTTTCTGCTCTGGTTGTTTTGATGCAGCCATTTTGATGTAGTTGGAACAAAATGATCTTCGAAAGTTAAAATGTGGGCCAGCCAGTAGCACAGTGGTTAAGGCAGCTGATCCCACATGGCCAACTGTGTAGTTCTAGTCCTGAACCCAGAAGCTTAACACACCAGCCCCATGTGCGTTTGTGCCTGAAATCCCAAAAAGAGATGGAGGAGGAGAGATTGTGTCTGCCATGACAGGTGCTTTCTCACCCTCTCTGGTGAATGCGTGTGACCTTTAGCAAATTTTTTTAAAAAAGAAAAAAAGTAAAATGCTAGTTTTCCCTCATTCACTCCCGGCATTTGCAAAGATAATCCTGAGCTCACGGCACAGCCCTGTGCCTTTACGTAAGGATGGTACAGGGGATGCTGCTGTGTGAGGTGAGATGGGGCAGCGGGCAGGGAAGATGTCTGCTGAGCACGTAAAGTGTTACTGAAAGAGCTAAAAGTGTGGTGGTCTGTCTTTTAGACCATGTCAGATGGGTCCCCTGTCTCAAAACAGCTATGCTCCCATGTCATTTACTGAAAAGGAAGGGGTGGCAGAACTCATTTATTGGCCCCTGCCATGTGCCAGGCACTTGCCTATGTCTTGTGTAGGCTATGTTCTTGCATCCTTGGGAGTGCCTTGTTCACAGGAGAGCTCAGGTTAGTTCCGGGAGACAGGGACCTGCCCAAGGTCACACTTGTTTTCTCCAGGCCAGAACCTGTTGTCCTCACTCCTAATGTAGCACTGATTTTGTTTTCTTTCTACCCAAATTGCCTCTGGATTTTAGTGCCACTTTAGTTGGTTGGCACTTTCTACCAATTTTTTAAAAATTCTTTTCTTTCTCCCTGTCTTCCTTACTTTGTCTTGCGCTTTCTTTCATGAGAGACAGAGACAGATAGAGAGAGAGGGAGAGAAAGGCAAGCACCCTTAACAGGGTTTCATGCTGTGATCCATCCCAGCCCCTCATCTTTTCAGCCAGCCAGGCATGTGTGCACATGCAAGCCCAGTGTGTACAGGTCACAGATCCCTGGCCACAAAACCCTGGTCTTTCCTGTGGCTTCCAGCCCTGCAGAGAGTTTTTCTACCACTGCACCAGCATGGCTGGGCCTCTGCCAAATAACACAGGAATGGGAAAGGCTCCTTAGTACTGTCTGTGAGCTCAGTCTCCTGGTGGGTGTGGGGATGGGGACAGAGTTGCCCTCTCCATCATCAACCCAGTCTTCCCCAGATGCCGTTGCCAGCATCTCAGTTCTGCTTGCCCCTGTTTTCTTGGGACTAACTTATTCCCTGTCCCCTCTCTTATACAGCTTCTCAGGATCCTGGGGGAGGCCCCAAAGGAGTTCCCCTGAAGAGCGCCATCCCCCATGCCACCTCTCAGAGGCTGCTGAGGGTGCCCAGGCCAATGCCACCCATCCAGAGCATCCCCACCACCCCCGAGGCCAGTGGAGCCAAGGAGAAGGGTCTGGACCTTCCTGGGAGCAGTCAGGGCACCCAGGAACTGAGACCTGGTGCCCAGGAGGTAAGGCAGGTTGACTGCTCTGAGTCTTGCATGCAGCTTCTTACACCCCCCTGCCCTTCTGTCTTTCTTTCCATTGTTCACCAATCCCTGTTGCTGTGCCGTGGGCCATTCTAGAGGTATCTTGAGACTGTACTCAAGGAGAGGAGCAGCCCTGGGAAAGGCCTAGAGCCCTCATTCACCTTCCCCTACTCAATCCCTGGGCCAAGGAGCATTAGGTCTGTGGCCTGTTAGGAACTGGGCAGCACAGTAGGAAGTGAGTAGAGGGTGAGCGAGTGAAGCTTCATCTGTGTTTACAGCCGCTCCCCAATTGCCGGCATTACTGGCTGAGCTCCACCTTCTGTCAGATCACTGGTGACATTAGATTCTCATAGGAGCACGAACCCTATTGTGAACTGCACATGTGAGGGATCTAGGTTGTCTACTCCTTATGAGAATCTACTGCCTGATAACTGAGGTAGAGCTGATGCAGTGATGCTGGCACTGGAGAGTGGCTGCAAATAGTGCATTATGGCGAGTTGTGTAATTGTTTCATTACATATTACGACATAGTAATAATAGAAATTAAGTGCATAATAAATGTGCTTGAATCATCCTGAAACTATCTCCTCCAACCCCCAGGTCTGTGGAAAAAATGTCTTCCACAAAACCACTCCTTGGTGCCAGGACTTTTGGGGACTGCTGCCCTCAAACATCCAAAATCTTTGTAACTGACCTGGGAGTTGTGGATGGCTGCATATCCACCTGTCCTAGAACTGAGGTTCCCTGGTTTTCTTGGGTCTAAATGCTCGAGAATTCTTCCCATTTCCTGCCCTGCCCACTTTAAGCCAAGGAGTGTGGCAGAGGGGAAGGAATGCTGGGCCAGGGCTCAGGTTTTGGCTCTAGTTAATACTCTGCCTTTTACTGGCTGTGTGATCTTGGGAAAGCCACTCCACTCTCTGGGCCTGTTTACACATCTATAAAAATAGAGATCTGGACCTGATGATTTTGAAGGTCCCTTGCAACTCTGATGTTCTGGGATTTTTCTGAAATGAGAATAGAAAAACAATAATAACAGAAGTGCCCTCCAGTCTTCCCCAGAGTGGCAAGGAAACAAGTAGCCTTCAGGGGACCAGGGTTGCGTGGCTGAAAAGAGAGATCAGAGGTTGTTTCCCAGCACCGCCCCTGCTGGCCCCTAGGAGAAGGAACCAGCGTGTGTGAGGTGCCAGGGAGGTGACCACGCCGCATGGGCTGTCTCCATGGACCAAATTTCCTCTGACCTCTGTTCCCAGGCACAGATTTCCCTGCAGTACCTGCACTGTAACGACGAGAAGATGCGGCAGTCACTGGGAGGCATCGTGATCCCACCCATCCCAAAGGCTGGGGCACCCATGGGGGCCTCATCCAGAGTGCCTGGCTCTCTGCCCAGCCCACTGCCTCAGGGCCAGGACATCCTCATGGGCCTGAGGGCCCCAAGCACAAGGTAAGTCAAGCCTCCCTTGCTGTCTTCTCTCCCTCCGTTCCCACAAGAGCCACTTGGGGTCGGCTCTGTGGTGCAGGGATAATATGCTGCCCAGGAGAAGCTGCGTTCCACATGGAGATGGTGCTTTGAACCGCTGTCCAGTCAGCCTGAAATACACCTGACATGTTCATGACTGCCCAAGATCCAACAGGCTGGAAGACTGGTAGAAGGGGATCACGGCATGACCAGAGGATGTAGAGGATGCTTCTCCTTTCTGTCTCTCTCTTACTCTCTGTTGGTCTCACTCTAAATGCATGCACATGTGCACCATCATGCATAAAAGGAACAAAGATCCACTTGGGCTCCTCATGGCTGGATCTCCATGCCGGGACAGAGCTCTGGGAGCACTGGGCTTGAGAAGGGCAGTATCCCTCACCCAGGGGGAGGTCACAATTTCAAGGGCTTCTCTGAGTGTGGAAGGTACCCCTGACAGGGTCTTGTCACACTGTACCCTTTTTCCTAGCCTTCCAGCCAGCTGGGATTGTGGGTGCACTCGTGGGTGCCGGGCATGCTGAGGTCAACCTGGGACCCAAACCTGAGGCCTTCTCATGTGGCTCTAGCATCACACGATGGTGTCCGCTGCCTGTACCACAGGCAGGGCGGGGGCTACCAGCTTTCTAATGTATGTGGTTGCTGTATTATTATTCAGACATATTATTATATTTATAAATTATTTAAAAACACGATTGAATTATGGTAGCTCTTTTTTACTATGCATTTTCTTAATTGATGGATACTAAAGTACAGTCATTCTCTTATGTGTGTGGAGGGGAGAAGTCCATAAAACTTCTGGATTTACCGAGGGGTCTTCATACCCCCAAACTCTGGAGCCAGTGAGGCAGAAGATCTCTGTGCTGGAATGGGTCTGGGTTTACGGCTTGTGAGTAAGAGGGTAATGCTCTCTAGATGGCCGACCACATTCCCGTGGTCCATATTGATGTTGGAGCAAGCGTGTGTGTGTGTGTGTTAGTGTGTGTGTGTGTGTGTGTGTATGTCAATGAGTTTGTGCACACGCTGAGTGTGTGTGTATGTGAGTGTGTGTATGTGAGTGAATGCGAGTGAATGAATGTGTATGAGCATGTGAGTGTGTGTGAGTGAATGCATGTGTATGAGCATGTGAGTGTGTGTCAATGCCAATGAGTTTGTGCACATGGCAAGTGTGTGTATGTGAGTGTGTGTATGTGAGTGAATGCATGCATGTGTATGAGCATGTGTGTATGTATATGTGAGTGAATGCATGTATGAGCATGTGAGTGTGTGTGAGTGTGTGCATGTGTGCTTATGCTCATGGCCTGTGGATCTGGCTCACCCAGCATGGTCATAGTCACAGAATCACACAAGCCACCTAGATTCATCACACAGAAATGCTCTAACTCACAGGTCTCAGCCTTCTTTGGGTGTGAAGATCTCTTGTTAAGTCCAAAAAGTTTTGTGGCCTTCTCTACCCACCACACACGTAAGTTCTTGCCATGCCTCACTTCTCCGGTTTCCCTGGGGCCTCATGTACTGACCTCCGCATCTCAACCTCTCCCCACGTGGTCTCCGAGGCTGCCTTTCCTCTGTCCATACACACATCACATTTTCTCCATCTCTGCTGGGGTGCCGGAACTCCTCCATGGGCCTGCTCCTGGATTTCATTTCTCTGCTGGATTTTTGAACTCTGTCTCCTCAGACAGTTGCCTGCTCTACCGCCCTGCACTTCCTCTCCAGCCCGCATTGCCTTCTTCGTTCCTGCCCAGATGCCAGCTTTCCTCCCCTCTGAGTGGTGCCATGGGTATACTGACTCTGGCCCAGATCAGTGACCTTTTCTCTCATCCCGTTACTCGTGTTGTCTTTGAGTGTTTGAGCCATTGATGGCCCTTGAACTTCTCTCCTCCCTCGCCTTCCTATGTTATACCTGCTTCTTCTCTTTCATCCGTCTCTTAAATTTGGTCATTCTGAAAATTTGTCCAGGGCCCTTTGCCCTCCCTGGGGCCCTTCCCTGTGCCCATGACTTCCTAGAGCGCATGGATGTGGGTGGCTTTGTGTCTCCTGCTCTGCCCCAGACATCTCCCAGAGGTCAAGTTCCATGTTCCCAGCTTCCTGTTGGGTATCTCCAATTTCTCATGGTGGATGCTGGTCCTTCATCATGGGGAGAGAGAGGGAGGATATGCCATCATCGTGGCAATATGGAGCACCTCATGTGTCCCCAAACCATCCCTCCAAAGACCTCCTTATGCCCACCATGATGCAGGCACTCTTGTTGGTCTTCACAATATCATTGACTCTTGCTCACAGTGTCTCTTGCTCCTAATACATTGCCACATCCCTTCAAGTCTTTAACAACAATATACAAAGCTCTCATTTCTTTCTTTCTCTTACCTTTTCTTCTCATTTGCTCTTACTGGATCCTTCTTGTCACCCCCTCCTTCCTGCCAACCCAACTCTAGTGGCTCCTAACCTGTCTCCTTGCAGCCCCTTGCTCCCCATTCTAATCTCTCATTCCACCTCCCCATACGCCGCCTCCATGAACTTCATCTTTATTGACTCCTTGGTGCCAGCAGATAGAGATGAGTCTCCTTGCTCTGGCATACAGGGTCATCCCCAGCCCACCATTCCTCCCGTGTAGCTCTCCAAGAGCCTTTCTACCCCTCCAGACTCCCGTGGACCTGCTATTCCCTGAATGAGAGCCTCATCTCCCCAGGTGCTGCTTCCGTGCATCCGTCCTGCAACCTGAAAGCAGCCTCTCTCCCACACCAGACCTGCTGGGTCTCTATCCTGGTCTGTGTCTGCCTCTGCTCTGAAGGGTGGGGACACGGCTTCCTCTGCACTGCCCACCTTCCATTGTTTTGTTTATTGAACTTGAAATAAACAAAGTCTGGCTATTTAGTCATTAAATTTAATTGAGAAATGAACAATAAATGTATTTAGTTTATTTCTATTTGTTTGCTTATTCATTTGTTTCATTTAAATCTCATTCTATTCTTTCACTTGGAGCACTTCAGGGCATGGACAATATTTCAAAAATCTCTGCGGCTCTCGTGGTGCCAGGCTTGGGATGTGGCAAGGGTTAGGGAGATAAAGAGTATCTGCCCATTTGCTGCCCAGTGGTGAGGTGAGTTTCTCTTCATTGATTCGGTGAGACTCTTCTACATGTGGGCGGAGAGAGGCTCCATACCATTTCCATTCAGCCAGCCAACCACATGCTCACTTAAAACCGACCAGGTGCCCACGATATGCCAAGTGCTGTTTCAGCGGCTGCGGAAGCAAGGTGAATAAGGCAGTGTGTGTGTGTGTGTGTGTGTGTGTGTGTGTGTGTGTGTGTGTGTGTGTGTGTGTGTGTGTGTGTGTGTGTGTGTGTGCTCCGCGGGCCCACGGGAGGGACGTGCAAGTCACTGTGTCAGTCCCCGAGGAAAGTGCTGAGGTGGAAGACAGCATGCCATGGTGGGGAACCTGGGAGCAATGACCTGAATCAGGCTGGGAAGCTTTCACGGAGGATATCTGAAGGCTGAGGGAGAGTCTGTGAGAGGAATGAGAGGGAAAGACATGGAGAAGGAGAGGTGAAGCATTTAGCAGCTGCAAGGAGCCTCGTCGTGTTGGGAACATTCACCATGTTCAGTTACTCTGAGGTGCACAGGTTGTTATTAGCGATGTTCTCCTTATATTTTATAAGACGAGAAATTGTTCCTTTTTTTTTTTGTCAGATTTGCTAGAGGGTGTGTACTATGTTGGCTAGAGAGGGACAGAGACATAGACATAGAGAAAGCACCCTTTAACGGGGCATGGTAACACTGCAATCCTTCTCCTCCATTTCTCCCTCCTTTCTGGATTTCGGGCATGCATTACATAACCTGGCATCTTTTCAAGACCCTGGGTCTGAGACTCGAACTGTGTGGACCATATGGAATCTAGCTGTCTTAGCCATCAGTCCGTAACACCCACTCCTACCTATTTGTAATTTTCATTAGTCAACATCCTTCTACCCACCCCCCTTCCCAATCCTTCCCAGCCTCTAGCAGTCATTCTTCATCTTTATAATTATTTGTGGTCATTCTTCTCAACTCCACGCGTGCTGGAGAACATGTGGTGTTTCCCTTTCTGTGCCTGGCTTATTTCACCTACCATAATGTCCTCTAGGCTTGCTCATTTAACCTCAGGTGACAGCAGTTCATCCTTTCTCATGGTGAATAGAATTCTGCCATTATACTCGCACACACATGCGCGCACACACACACACACACACACACACACACACTATATGTAAAGCATTTTTTTCATCTTTGATGAATGCTTAGAATGATTCTTTTGGGCTGTTGGAAAAGTCATGATGTATTTTTCTATGCAAAAATGTGCCATGACATTGCTGATGACCTGGTATATCTAGGATTTTATGAATGGAGTTGCGATTATTCCTGGGTGCAGATATCTTTAAGACACACCGATTTCCTTCCCTCGGCCTGGCCATCTGGCTGAGTGAACCCCCTGAACACAGGATGTGGTGTCCCAGTGCTTTTCTCGTGGCTTGTTACCCTGTCAGCCCCTCAGTGGTTCCTGAGGTCTGTGCATGTCCCTGTCAGGAGGAGGAAATCACGTTGGGTCAGCATAGCTGTCTTCATGAGCACCTGAGCGCCACGAGGGCAGGGCTTGTCATTCTTACTGGTGCTCCATTCCCACTGGCCACAGCAGTACTCAACACACAGTAGGCTGTAAGCAAATACAGATTGAATATCCCTTAACTGACATGCTCGGGACCAGAAGTGTTTCCCAAATCTGGCGATATTTGCATGTACGTAGTGAGACGTCTTGGGGAGGGGACCCAAGTCTAACTATAACGTTATGTTTATATACACTTTATGCAGATCGCTTGATGGTAATTTGATACAATATTTTTCCATTATGGCGTTTTGACTGTGACCTGTCACATGAGGTCAGGTGGGGAATTTTCCACTCACAGTGTCACAATGACACTCAGAAAGTTTGGGACTTTGGAACATTTTAGATTTTAGATTTTTGAATTAGAGATGCTCGACTTCTATCTGTTGAATCAATAAATGGTGTTTCCTGTTAAAAAAATTAAAACCAGTGCCAGGAATGATCCCATCTCTCTTTCCTGTGGATAATTGGGAAGAGTTTCTAGTACAGAACAGTGACTTCCTGTTACAGCAAAGGGAATCAGCCCCTCTAGACATGGGGCACGGGGCAAGGGGATTGTAATCATAGGAGGAGGACCCTTTGGGGATCGTGGACCAGGCTGTTTGGAGAACTTGAGCTTAGTGTTCTTGGAGTTGGGAGGCAATTCACTCCTCATCTGTAGCAGCTGCTCTGACAGTCCTAAGAAGTCCTAGCTGTGGGGCCTGGGGTGGGGTGTTCCTTTAAGACAGCAGTTTTCATGTGGCTGCAGTCTCCCTGGGGAGTAGATGGGCCCACAGGCAGAAGAGGGGGCTGAGCGCTGTGTTCCGACCCCCGGCCTGGCCTAGCCTGGGCTGCCGGCCAGCTTGTCCTTGTGCATGCAGGAGCTGCCTTTCCTGCAGCTTTGGTCTTCAGGCCAAGAGCCTCTGGAGGGCCACCTGCAGCCCTCCTGGGTCCACTGACTTGGCAGTTGCCCCACCCTGGGCTCCTCACAGGTTAGTATCTCTGGCTGTCATCTCTCATGCTGCTTTTTCTGCTCTGATTTTTGTTATTTTTAAATTTTAATTTACATTTAATCACAGTTATCTTTATAGTGTACAACATTGCTTTTTCCAGCATGAATACCGTGCATATCAGTCAAGATAAAGACATTACTATATACATTATCATCAGCAAATAGCTTTTCATTTTTTTGTGAATTAAATGTACTTTTTTTTTTTCCTTCCCCAGATCTGTTCGGGAGAGTGGGTCCGGAGGGAAGACTCCTAAATCTCCAGGTACGTCCTCCATGGTGCATTCCCCTTCTTCCTCCTGCCGTTGTTATTTGACTCTGAATTCCAGGGCTGGGTCATGGGAGCAGAATCTGGGCCGGAGGAGACCAGAGGGATCTCGTGTCTGAGCCCCGCATTTCACAGACAGGGGAGCTCAAGTTGCCTGAGGTCTTGAGCCGGAGGGTGGTGGCAGACCTGGCTCCGGCAGGCCGCGGCGATGACAGGCCCAGTGAGAGTGGGAAGACAAGCAGTGTTCCTTGGCTCCTGCCCTGCCGGGTGTGCTGAAAGACCCCGGCTCGTGTAGCTCTCAGCAACCCTGATGAGAAATGGTGCTGTCCCTGTGAGAGATGAGGGGACACACTGGGGCTCAGTGAGTGGGACACCCAGCCTGGTCTCAGAACACGGCTAGCAGACAGATTTGCACACAGGTCCACAGGGTTCCAAAGCTGGGCTCTCGACACACCGGGAGCTGCCCCGTGCTGCTGTCCACAGTCAAGGAAACTTCCTCTCCAGACAGAATGAGAATTGAAACCACATCCCACAGCCTTAGCAGGTCGCAGAGGTTCAGATGTCAGGGGGACAGGCCCAACCAGGAAGGGAAGAGAGGACGGGGGCAGGGAGGAGGAGGGCTCCTGTTGGGCCTGATGACTTACCTCTGTGGAGAGACAGCAGGGATGGACAGGAGTGGCCTTCGCTGCAGGGCAGGGGCTGTGAGGCCACAGATAATCCACAGGGGGAGGTGGGGTGAACATGGTATGCTGAACCTAGGGGCAGCTGCTGTGCTGACCGGCAGGAGTTGGGGGATTGGCCAGGGCCAGCTTCCTGGCAGGCTACGCTGCTAATCAGCTCAGCAGGTGGGTCAGTTGGCAAGGGGAAAGGCTATTGCCTAAGAGACCTCAGGTCAGGACATGAAGGCCTGGCAGAAACCTCTCCATGGCAGCTGTTTCTCCCCTGCTCCCGGGGCCAGGCTGCAGTGGGGTGAACTTGGGCAGTAGGTAGTGACCCAGTGGCACCCCGAATGCCTTCCTAAAGCTATCCCTGAGCATGGTGGCATGGGGGTTTGGGCAGGAGACCCAGTCAATAACTCCTCCCTCTTCTGGCTCACCAGCTAGCCTCTTAAGAACCAGGACATGGGACCAGCTAATGGCATAATGGTTATGTTGCTGGACTCCCATGTGTCGACCATGGTTCGAGTCCCAGACCTGGTGGCTTAAAACCCATGCCAGGCTTGTGTGTGTGCCTAAAGTCCAGAGACAATGGAGGAGAAGGGATTGTAGTGTGATCATCCCTCCTGGGGGGTGATTTCTTGTTTTCTGCCTCTCTCTGTGTCTCTGGTGAGTGTCTATGCCTTATAGCAAAAAACAAAACAAAACAAAACTCTAAAAAACGAACCAGGTTGCAGAGGCCCCGGGACAGGGGTAGGCTGTCATACACAGCTAGCTAAGGTGTTCCTTGGGGTGAGGAAGTGGGGTATAAGACAGCACAGTCCTTACGGGATTCTGACCCCCAGCTGTTTTCTGGGGGTGACATTGCATAGGAGAAACGTGCCTAGCACACGACAGGGGCCACGTGGCATCGTCTGAAGCTGAGGGCCTCCCCCAGTCTTGCGGCATTCCCGCCGTTGTTGCTCCAGCTGGGAGCCCCGACTGCGTGCTGCGTGCCCTCTGCACTGCTCCTACCTCTGGGCAGAAGGTCCCGAAGCTTGTCTTTCCCCTGAGCCCTCTCCTTCTCTCTGTATTAAGCAGAGAATTCCTTTTCAGAATGCATAAGCCGGGCAGAGGACTGGGGTGTCCTGGAGGCTCTTCAGGGACCCCAGACTCCAGATGTCCTTTCTAATCTCAGACGGCCTCAGGTGGAGACCCCCATCTCAGAGAACCCCTGGGATCAAGGATGTTTGCGAATGACAGACAATGGGCCTACCCTACCCTATCCTGCTCCCTCAATAAAGACGCACCTTTCAACTCCATTGTCTGGGGCGATAGAGAATGACAGAGGGATACTACGGATCCAATGTCATCCGGAAGTGCACAGGCGTTTCAGCAGTCACAGGCCGTCTGAAGGCTGCTGGGCCTCAGCGCTCCCGTCTGTGAAATGGGAGGAATAGACCAGTGTACACGAACTCTCTAGCCCCTTCCGGCCCAGCGCTTTCAGGCTGTGTCATAGATAATTGGTTGGTGGGCCCATTTTATTTTTTCTTCTCCTTAGGTACATACCTCCCAGGTAGGACACACTTACATTCTCAATATCTTAAATCTCTCAGGTGACAGATCGACCCTATTTCCTGCCCAGCCTTCTCACCCGCCCCCATCTTAGAATAAGTTGTGCAGTAATTGTTGATTGAATGAGTGAATAAATGGAGGATAGGTGCTGGTCTTCAGGCAGGCTGTTTGACCCCTGCCAAAGCCACTGTGTGGAGAATCTTTAACTTACGTCTTTCTCTATGAAGGGCCCACTGGGCAGGAGAATTGAGGGTGGAGGGCTTAGGCAGTAAAGTTCCATAATCGCAGGATCTGAAGCCTCAGGGGCAACCTGAAGCTCCGTCTCTGTTCTTGACCCTTCAGAGCCAAAACCTTTGGCTCTGCCTGTCAGAGACAGGTCTGCACCCGCTGAGAAGCCCGGCCTGCCACCGTCTCAGTCTGCTCCTGCACTGACCACCTTCTCCTTCGGCCATGCCAGAGAAGCCCGCCCCTTGCTGAAAGAAGAGGACCAGAAAGAGACCAGCACCAAGGTATCTGGGAATTGAGAGGAGGAGGAGGCCGGGCTCCGTGTGGACCCCTGCCTCTCCTCTGCCCACGCACGTTTCTACAGTGTCCCAGAGTGGGACCCGCTGTGGGAGGCGGCGCAGAGCCTTGACCTCTGCCTGAGCTCCTGATGGCCAGAGGCTGCAGATGGGTTTGGGGTGAGGGTCGAAGGCAGGAAAAGGAGCAAGGATGGAGAATGGGCAGGGGGAAGGCAGGGACTAGGTGAAGGGGTGAGTACAGGGGTTTGCGGAGGGGCGAGGGTGAGGAGAAAGGACAGGAGGGGTCCCACAGGGTTGGGAAGGAAGTGGGGTGTGGGCAGAGTCCTGAGGGGCTTAGGTGGACCAAGTAGAGTGATATGAACTAACACCCAAGACAGCAACTGAGCAGCGGCTGACTCAGGGCTGCCCAGCCAAGGCTGTCCTGACAGACTGACGGATACCTTGCCCTTCTACGGTGCCCTTGGGAGGCAGCTTCTCCTCTCAGGTGGTGAGTGACTGTGGTGAGGGACCCGTGTTCGTAGCAGAGATGCAGCAGTTCTTTTTTTTTTTTTTCAAAATATGTATTTAATTTTGTTTATTATTATCATTTTTCAATTTTGACTGGAGATAGAGATAGAGAGAGAGATAGAGAGAGAGATAGAGAGAGAGAGAGAAAGTGAGAAAGCAAGCCACCAGGTTTGGGACTTGAACCACGGTCAGCCATGTGGGAGTCCAGCCCCTTAACCACCACGCCACCTGCCTGCCCCAGAGATGCAACAGTTCTTAAGGCCTACTATACTATGTGCAGGCACTATGTCAGAGACTAGGAGTCTGTGGCCATGATGATAAGGTCCTGTCACCAGAGCCTGGCCACCCTAGAGAGGAGGCGAACATGCAAAAAAATGCAATGATAATTCAGAGCAGCAAAATGATCCCGTCTCCACCCACCTTGCCGCTCACTGCCATGGTCCCACCCTCGACCTTGGCGTTACGAACAACTTTACTCAGCCGGTATCTCAGTTTCAAGTTCCCCGCTGACTCTGGCTTGCCACCAACTCCCCTGTTCTAGCTCCATCCATCTAACAGCCCAGCTCCAGCTTTCGTTCCCTGTCTTGGATCGACAGTGTGCTCCTTGAAACAGAACCATTTCTGTCGGCGTGTTAACGCTCTGATACCGATTTCATATACATATGAGATGTAGTCACTGAGGGAGGCTGGGTAAAGCCTAGATGGAAACTCTTGGTTCTATTTTTATACCATTTTATAAGTCCTAAATTATTTCAAAATTAAGAAGTTATAAGAAACAACACTTAGAGAACCCTCTGTCCCCCCCAAACGGAAGCCGTGTGGTGCTACTCCTCTGCTCAAAACCTTCAGTGGTTTCCTGTGTCCTTCAGAGGAAAAGCCTAAATCCTCACCAGGGACGATAATGCCTAGTGTGACATGGATCCGGCTACCTCCTCCATCCCGGACCCCACCATTCCTCTGACTCAGCGCTCCAGCCGGGGTCCTCCCACTGTTACCCAGCCGTGCTCAGCTTAGCCCAGCCCTAGGGCCGGCCGCGTGTTGACTCTCTTTGCTTAAAAGTCTTCTCTCCTAGACATCCGGTGGCCTACACTCTCCCTTCATTTCTGTCTCCAAGTAAATTTCACCACCGCAGGGACTGCCTCTGGGTCTTCTTATCTTCTGTCCAAGTCTCCCTCTCTTTTTAAAAAAATTTTTAGATTTTTGCCTTCAGGCGCATGTGCTCATTGGGGTGGGAGGGTTCAGTGAGAGGGAAAGTGAGAAATCAGCCCCCAGGGGGGATGGCCATGCTGCAATCTGTTCTCCATGCTCCTCCCGGGATCTTGGGCACGCACTCACATGCACCCAGCGTGATTTTCAAGCCACTGGGTCCAGGACTCAAACCATGATCGGCTATGTGGGAGTCCAACAATGTAACCACTACGCCATCTGCTGCTCCCACCCCCCCATCCAAGTCTTAACCAGGCTTGACCCTGTTTAGCCTCTGAGATCAGGTGCATGCAGGGTGGTATGGCTGTAGACTGGGCCTTCTTACTTAAAGGAAAGCCCCACTGTCACCCTGTCTCCTTACTTTGAGCACATTTTGCCTGATGTTGAGATGGTCTGTTCACTGTCTGATGACCCCCCACCATGAAGTTGTTTGGGGACTCTGTCCTTTGTGCTCACTCCCAGAGCAGCGGTTGGCGTGCAGGTGGTACTCACAGCTGTGCTGATTTAGTGACTGCAGGTACAGGACGTGTGATTGGGCCCCAAGGCTAATGGAGTTTGTCTCGACCTTGTGTCAGATCCAAGTCACCATCTCCAAGTCTGCACAGGAGAAGATGCGGCTGAAGCAGATGAAGGAGATGGAGCTGTTCCGGAGGGCCAAGGAGCCGGACAAGGAGAGGGAGCTCGCTTCCCAGAGCCTGGGCTCCCGGAGAGCCTTAGTGAAGGAAGGTACTGGGTGCCGGGGCGGGATCCCCTCAGGCTGGGGACAATTCTTGCCCAGCTCCTGGGTTTTCAATCCTCCCAAAGAGAGGCTGCCCATAGTCTCTTACCTTCCTCATCCTGAGAGTGGCCAGGGAGCCACGTCCACATTCTTACAGCCTTCTGGTGTCCTGTTTCTAAAGAAGGACCCTGGGTCCAGGGCCAGGCAGGACCAGCTCAGTCTCGGGACTTCCTCTGCCTCCACAGGCCTCCTCCCCCTCCGGGGCAGTGGGACCCTCTCGGTGCCTACTGGGCTGAGCAGTCCACGCAGAAACAACGTCGGCGTCATCCTGAGGAAGCGGGCCAACCGGTCCTCACTGCCCAGTATCCCCGTCAGCAAGCAGGAGCCCAGCTTTGCCCGCCATGCTTCAGGTGGGGCCCAGACCTGACCGGGGAGGGGCATGTGTCCCTCCTCCCATGCTGCCTCAGAACACTCTGGGACATAGCAAAGGTGATGTTGGCTAGAGGGCAGCCCAGGGTGGCGGCCACTTTGCCAGAGAGAGAAACATTGTCTTGGCTTCGTGATTGTCTATGGGCCAGGCTGGGGATCGCCACTGGAGGATATCACAATGGAGCTGTGGAGGGCTGGCAGGTGTCCCCAGCCTGTGACATGTCCTAGAGGAGTCGCCAGACCAAAGATGCGGGGGAATGACATCTAGGAAAGTAGCTGGAAACAGGAAGAGGCAGAGAGGGTTCTGGAAGACTTGGTGGCTTCCTATAACATCAGGGCTGGATAGGGCTGGCTATACCCTGGATGTCATCTGCTGAGTGACAGTGGCCGAGCTGAGGAGAGAATACCTCAAGATCTCCTTTATGTCTTGGTTTTCATTGAAGGGTCACCTCAAGTCAAACTAGCCCAGGACCTCCTGAATATACTGTAGTAGATCTCATCCTGGAGAAGGTGAACCTCCCAAGGAGACAAGCCAGGAAGTGAGACGTGGTAGTGGCACCCCCCTCCAGCTCGTCTGCACCTTTGATGCCTCAATGGTGTGATTAGGGAGTTGAAGTAGACAGATGGCATCTATCATGCCTTTCTGTTCTAGGGTTTTATGATTTTAGCATCTGTCCACAGGGAGGGGAGCCTAGGAAACATGGTCTGATTTTTCCGTAGCATCCCCGTTGGTTAGGTCAATCTCTTGACCATATGGGTGCTGGCTCATGACATTGTCTCATCCATGCGTTTTCCTGTCCCTGCCCTTCTCCAGCCCCTTGCCCTTGGACCACCTCCCTGCTTGCGGGCATTTTCACAGAAGCATAGATAGTAGGAGGGAGGGAGAAGCTGAGAGGGTAGGAATGAGGTTGGTCACCACCAAAGTGAACAGGGAAGCCATTCACTGACAGATCTCAGGGCCTCCCCTGGCCACAGACAGGGTCTATTGGAAGTGAGTCATTGACTTGGTGAGCTTTGTCACAGGACATCAAACAACATGTCACCACCAGTTGTTTAAAATGAACCAAGTTGGCAATGGTGGGAATCGAGAAAGCCCATGAAAGGGGGAGAAAGAGGTGGTCTCCTTGGATCTGTAGAGTGAAGCCCAGTTGCTGGCTTCTCAGCTCTCTCCAGCCCTTCTCCCTGTTCGCCCTCCCCGTCAGGTGGGCTCACACTGTGAGCCAGGCCTGTGTGGTACAGGGTGGCAGAAGCAGCCCCTCGGAGCTCTCACCTGTCCTCCCGTGAAACTGCTGTTCGTTTCTTTTCTGTGAATGCAGCTAACTCGTTACCTGCGGTGCTCACACTGGGGTCTCCTGAATGGGAAGAGGAGTTGGAGGAGATAGAGCTTAGAGCCCTTAAGGAGTTGAGGCCTTTCTCAAACCCAGAGCTGGGGTTGGTGGATGCCCTCCAGTGCCTCAACAGCAGCGACTGGTGAGGAGACCTCGTTCCCTGTGCGTGCTAGGGTGGGAATGAGGGATGGGGGCCAGGCATGGGGAGACACAGAACAGTGGCCATTCCAGGGCTTTGGTACAGTGGAGGGGGAGTGTGTGTGCGTGTGAGTGAGCATGTGTGTAAGCACGTGTGTGTAAACATGCATGTACGTGTGTGGTGTCCCTGGCTTCCTGGGAGCGCCTGGGATGCTCAGAGTGGCCCTGTGTACTGCTTGGTGACACACAGAGCTTGGCATGGTGAGGACGAATTGACCTCCCAACACAGGCCCCTGGAAGGGTCCCAGCCCACTCATTTCCCTAAATAAGCGTAACCTGCTTGGCGTTCGTCCCACCGCACCGGGGCACATGTCATCAAGGTCATGAGCAAAAGCCATGACTTGGTCCAGGACACTCACTGGAGTCCTCCTCAGATTCAGCCTTCACTTTGTGTCAAGGATCCAAACAGGTCCTGGGGTGGGCTTTGACCCCGGCACTGCCAGAGCTGAGGGCTACGAGGGGCCCCACAACACAGCTTACTGAAGGCCAGGGTGTTACCCTGGGAAGCCCTCTTTACAGGCACAGAATCACACCTGCTGTGGGGTGGGGTGGTGACACGGGTGCCCCTGGCCTGCAGAGCGGGGCCTACCTCCTCACCTTCGTGTGACGGGGCCTGGACTTGCTTCTCAGGCAGATGAAGGAGAAGGGTCTGGTGAGCATCCAGCGCCTGGCGGCCTGCCACTCTGAGGTCCTTGTGGGGAGGCTGCACGACGTGTCCTTGGCGGTGACCGGGGAGGTGAGGCCCCCATACAACCCATGTCCTGGGCACTTTGCCCCACGGCCACTCTCCTGTCCTGGGGCAGCTGCTCCGTGCCGGTTACATGGCAGCACGAGGGGCCCATGGCTCCCCAGCTTATTTCCCAGCCCTCAGTCACTGAGGCAGGCATCCATTCCTCAGACTGGAAAACTAAGGCCCGGGGTTTCCTTATTTGAAATCTCTGACAAATGAAATAAGTAGAATCCTGCGTCCCCACTTGCCACCTCTGCATTGTCCTCTGCTCAAAATGCCAGAGGAGTGGTGGAGTGTTCTGGGCTAGATCTCCAAATTCCGGGCACTTGTAGCATTTCCCAGGGCCTTTCTCCCATGGGACTGAGACTTGGCCTGGGCTGGGCACAGAGAGGCTGAAAGATACATTCCATCTCACGCGGAGGCCGTGCCTGGCCCCTGGGAATGGGCTGCCCCAGTGTGGGTGGGGAGGTGGCTGAATACAGAGGACGCTGAGTTCCATGCAGGGCCTGGGCTGTTTGAGCTCTGTGCCTTCCTGTGTGTGGCCGTAGGGCTCTGTCTCTCCCTCTGTAAAGGGAGTGTCACTTACCTACTACCCAGGGTAGTCATAAAGATCACGAGAAACATTTTTTGTACAAGTGCCCTGAAGCCCAAGCCTTGTCCGTATTTCAGGTGACTAGGATGGAACCAGCGATTCTGAGGATAACAGAATGGGACTGTTGTCCAGAGCTGCTATTGTTTTCATCCTGTTCCCTGGGGGGTTCCAGAGCCCTTGGTGGGGGCGAGCAAACCTGGAGGTCCCCTCTCTTCTCTGTCTCCAAGGTCACCAACCTCCGCTCCAAGGTGTCCCGCCTGGCCATCAGCACGCTGGGAGACCTCTTCCGGGCCTTGAAGAAGAACATGGACCAGGAGGCGGAGGAGATTGCCCGCTGCCTACTCCAGAAGATGGGGAACACCAGCGAGTTCATCCAGAGAGCGGCCAGCAGGTCCCTGGGGGCCATGGTGGAGAACGTGAGCCCTGCCCGCTCTCTGGTGGCTCTTACCTCGGCGGGAGTCTAGTATGTGGCTGCCAGAGGGGATGGGGTGGTGGGGGGCGTGAGGCAAAGAGAGAAGTTCTGGGTTTTGAAAGGAGGAGGGACCGAGGAGAGAAAGGGATGTGGCAGAGGGCAGGAAATGGAGACTGCAGAGAGGGCCCTTGGGAGGCTAGAGGCCAGAGTGACAGGGTCAGAGATCAGAGTGGAGAAGGCGCCCATCTCAGGCTCCACCGCAAGCATCATCCACGTTGGCTGGGGATGAATATGGCTGAGTCCTGGTGGGCTGCTTCTCCACCTTTCTGGCCTGCCTGGTGCCCACGAGGTGAGCTCCGGCTGGAAGAGGACAGGTGGAAGGCCAGGAGCGTGCAGCTGCGTGGTGATGCCCATCTGCCCACGCGGGACAGGGCTGTCAAGGCAGCCTGTGGGGTTGAGTGTCCAGGAGCCCCTGCCACCTCCCAGGCGCGCCCTGCTTCTGTGGGCCGAACCCTGGGCCTTTGGAGAGCAAGGCTTGTAATGATCGGCGTTCTCCTGGGGACGCGAAGGCATGGGCTGTGGCTGGAGCCTTTCTGCAGCCAGGTGTGCTCTCCCCTTAAGTCAAAACCAAAACCAAAAGTAAAAATCCACAGGCACAGCCCAAGTGCTTTCTCCCACAGGGCCAAGAACCTCTCCACTCCTGTAAGCCAATCTCCACACTGATGCAAGAGGCTTCTCAACAGTCCCAGGGCCCGCCCTTACCCTTCCCTCCAGCAGACGTTTGCTAAGACTGAGCTCTGGAGCTGTATTGCCTGGGTTCGCATCCTGGATCGTTACTGTGCTGCTCCGTGCCTCAGTGTCCCCATCTATGAAACGGGGACAATCATAGTGTCTTCCTCGTGTGTTTGTTATGAGGAAGAAATGATTCATGAAGCAGTACGCAGAACAGTGTCTGTCTCAACCTATGGCCGTAATTAACTTGGGAGACATTAATTGTACTTTTTTTCTGCATTCCTCCTTTTACCTCAACGTCCTCACTGAGAATGATGGTGATAATAGCAGCTGATGAGGCTAGTGTGAGATATCGGGAAACAGGTGCTCAGCTCTGCCTGGTGTGGGGGGGAGGCAGCTGATCATGTCAGAAAGAACCAGGGTGGGGCCCCAGATACTGTAGTAATTACGTCACTGGACTCCCACATCACTAATCACAGTTCAAGTTCTGGACCTGGTAGCTTGAAACTCGTGCTGGGTGTGTGCACATGCATGCCCAAGATCCCAGGAGGGGAATGGAGGAGAAGGGATTGTGGAGTGGCCATCCTCCCTGGGGAGGGGGTTGATTTCTTACTTTCTGTCTCACTGTCTTTCTCTCTCTCTCTCTCTTCCTGGTGAGTGTGTCCCTAAGGTTAAAAAAAGAAAAAAGCAGGGTTGGGTGTCCTCAGTGAACCCCAGACTGAATTTTACATTAGAATGCCCTGAGGATCTTGGGATTAGCAGATGGTGTAACGGTTCTGTTGCTGGACTCCCATGTAGTCAACTGCAGTTCGAGTCTCAGACCTGGTGGCTTAAAACTCACACCAGGTACATGTGTGTGCATGCCCAAAATCCTGAGAGGAGAATAGAGGAGAATGGCTCATGGTGTGGGCATCCCCCCTGGCCATCCTCCTTGGGGGGAGGAATGATTTCTTGCTTTCTGTCTCTTTGTCTCTCCAGGGAGCACGTGCCCTATAGCAAAAATCAGGAAAAAAAAAAGCAGCCCTGGGGTCTTACTAAAATGCAGATTCTGATTCAGATGCTATAGATGCTGGTCCCTGGACTGACTGGGTAGTGAGCGTCCTGATGTGTTCTACTGGGTGGAACCCTGTGGGTACAGGGCCAGCGTTGCCTGATGGACTGTAGACACTGGGGCTCTGCTGAAAGAGGTGCCATCTTAACGGGTTTCTGTGATGAGTTCTGGTTTCCCTTCTTGGGTCACCAAATTGCCCATCAGTCTGTCTCCTTTCCTTCTGTCTCAGCTCAGTGCCCAGGCATGCGCCAGCCCTCAGTGGGACACTGGTTTGTAGCAGAGAGGGAGCTGGCAGCCTGGTGGAGGCTGCATGGTGCGAATGCGCTTCCCAGTGCTCAAGGACAGGGCCACCCCAAGGAGCATCTGATTCTGTCTGTGGGGCTGCGGGAGGAAGAGGAGGCATTGTCTGAGTAGGATTTTTCAAGGTGGAGGAGAGATGGGGAAGCGTATTCAGATAAGAGGAAGAGCATGCACTTGGGAAGACCCCCATGAAGGCTAAGCACATGGGGCTTGTCTGGGAAACAATATGGAATTTTTTCTTCTTGTTTTGTCATAGGACATGTGCGCTCTCCGGAGAGAGAGAAATAGTGAGAGGGAAATTAAGAAGTTACCTCCCTGGGGTGGGGGGCTGCACTGCAGTCCCTTCTCTTCCATTCTCCTCCAGGGATTTTGGGCATGCATGCACACTTGCCTGGCGTGACTTTCAAGCCACCAAGTCTTGGACTCTAACCAGGGTCAGCCATGTGGGAATCCAGTGCCTTAACCACCATGCCACCTGCGGCCCCATGACGTGTAGCTTCGCAGGGCCCTTCCTCCTCCCTCTCCAGTGTTGCCATCATCACCCAGCGACCAGGAAGTGTGTGTCCTTTCCACAAACTCTCCCCTCGGCCCCCACAGGATGTTTTGGAGCCCCTAGCTGCCATGAAACACTGGTCTATAGTTTTAAATATGGGGTGGTGTCCCCAAGTCACTATCCTGTGACTGATTCCTTTGCCATCATGTGATTCCTTTCAGCCACAGAAACCCCTTAGTCCGGAAGTGCACTGCTGAGCACCTCTCGGCCGTCCTGGAGCAGATTGGCGCCGAGAAGCTTCTTTCGGGCACCAGAGACAGCACAGACATGCTGGTGCACAACCTGGTGAGGCTGGCGCAGGACTCCAACCAGGACACCAGGTAGGGCAAGGCCAGGGGCTGGGGTTAGATAAGGCCAGCAGCCATCCCCACTCAGCAGAGACAGATGCATGGAAGTGCATCCTATCCTTTCAGCTGGCATCTCGTCTCGCCCTAGAATCACCCATGCCCGGTTGAGAGAGTGATCAGCACCCCTGCCTCCACTTTCTCCCCTCCCGTCCTCCTAACTCATGGCAGTGTTGCTCCGGTGTCTATCCTAACCCTGCTTCATCCTCTGTGAGATGGCTCGGTCAGTTTTAAATAGAGTTACTTAGTGAGCATTTTTTATGATTGTGCAACATAGCAGTGAATAACAGAAATGAAAGCCCTACTGTCTTGAGCTGACCTCCTAGCCGAGGGACACAGATAATAAAAAAATAGGTAATGATGACAATTTTAGGTACAGTTAAGAGATATTAAAAAACCCATAAAACCAAGATGCAGCAGAGAATGGGGTATGAGTTGCGTCCCACTGAGGGTGGGAGGTCTTTTTAGAGTGACATTTGAGTTGAGAACGGAATGGCTGAATGGAGTCAGCTCCCTGACGACCTGGAGTGGGAGGTCGCATGTGAGGCGAATGGTACCAAGGCCCCTGGGTGAGAGTCAACTGGGCGTTCGAGGCATTGGCCTGCCAGGCTGGGTGGAGCTTGGTGAGTGAGGAGAGTGGTGGACAGCCCTGATCACGAGGGCCCAGGGCCAGGAGTTGGGATTTTAGTTTCTTGTTATCAGAAGCCACAGGAAAATATTTTAATAGGAGCATGAGGAGAGTGGGAGGGTCTGATTATCTCCAAAAGCTAGAGCTGGGGTCCAGTTGGCCACAATCCCCAGATCACGGCAAATTATCACCATGTCTGTTTGGATGTGAGTGTGTCTAGTGCTCCCATCCCCACTGCCGCTGGAGACTGTGTCACCCTTGACTTGACTCCGGGGCCCTGCTCCAGTGTGTCGGTGCGTTCACATGGGTACACATGTCTGAGGTGCGTTCACATGGGTACTCATGTCTGAGGATGCCCTCTGGAGGAACGCGGTGCCCGTCCAGCCTTCCGCTCTGCACTGCTGCCAAGACTGCTGCACTTCACCTCCACGCACGTCACCTCCACTGACGGAGTGGGTGGGGATCCTCTGGGAGTATGGCAGGAGCAGGATGTTGGGTGGGGGCTGAGGCTGGCGGGGTGCTCTCCAGTGGGGCATTCCTCCCGCCTCCTTCCTGCCAGGCTGGGTGCCTACGTCCTTGCAGCCTTGCCCGCTGTAGTGATACCCGGATTTTCAATACTTACGGCTAATGGGCGAACGTGGCAGCTCACTGTCTCTCAGGCTGTCTTTTTGCCTGATTACTAACGAGTCCAAGTGCTTCTTTATATGCCTGCTGCCTTTGAGTTTTAAAAGAATTTCTCTAGCGCTAATGGAGGAGTGATAGGAAGAGAGGGGCAAGGATGGAGGGACGCCAGGTAGATGGCTAGATGGTTAAGCCATAGCGCAGGGGACAGGGCTGGAGGATCAGACTGAGAGCATGGAAGGTGGCTCTGTGTGTGTGTGCATTTTAAAGTTTTTGCTATAGAGTGTGTGTGTTCACTAGAGATGAGAGAGAGAGAGACAGAGAGAGACAGAGAGAGAGAGAGAGAGAGAGAAAGAGAGAGAGAAATCACTCTCTAGAGGGGATGGCCACACCTCAGTCCTTTCTCCTCCATTCTCTTCTTGGGATTTTGGGCATGCATGCACACATGCCTGGTGTGATTTTTCAAGTCACCAGGTTGGGGAGTCAAACCACATAGCTGGCCATGTGGGATCCAGCTGCCTTAGCCTCTGCACCACCGGCTGGCCCACATTTGGGTATATTTTGAAGGCAGAGTGTGTGGTGAGGATTTCAAAGAAGAATCAAAGATGGTGCTTAGATTTTTGTTTTGTTTTTTAAATTTAATTAAAAAAATGTAATGCCACAGGGTGCATATGCATGCACAAGAGACTGGCAGAGAGAAAGAGGGAAGGAGAAAGAAAATATCCGTCTCCTTAGAGGACCTAGCCATATTGCAGTCCCTTCTCCAGTTCTTCGCCTGTCAAGATCCTGGGCACTTGCATGTGTGCCCAGCATGTTGTTGCTGGGGTGGGATTCGAACCCCTGGTGGGCCATGTGGGATCCCACCTCCTCTGCACAGCACTCGACCGTTGTACTATGGGACCGGCCCCTGCCTAGGTTTTTAAGCTGAGCAACCCTGTGGATGGTAGTGGCATTTCCTGAAATGGAGAAGTAGAGGCTTAGATTTGTGTTAATTGTTGGTAGAGGATGAAAATCAAGATCGAACTTCTCTCCGGCCAATACCCATCTCCATCCTGAACTCTCTTATGCTGGATAATGATGACTACTTTCAGTTTCCTTCCTGGAGCCCTGTGGTTCCTGGTTTCCAGGGCAGGGCCCTCTCCTGGTTCTCCTGTCTCTCCGTGGTCATTTCTCCACCTGCCTGCTGCCTGAGTACGGGTGGCTGGGGAGGATCTCTAGTTCTTAGCTGCCTCTTCTAGTTTTCAGTGCTCGTAGCCCCTTGCACTTGCCAGCTCTGGTGCTTCCCAGTCTTTTCTCCAGCCCAGACCCTTCTTTGAGCATCAATCCCACATGTCTCCAGGGGGCCCATTGCAGGGTGTGCCACTATCACCCTCTGTGCCCTTAGCGTCTCCAAATGAGCTCATTGCTGTCCCCCAAGCCCGATTCTCCGGCTGTGTTCCTTCTATTGTAGGGTGACTTACCAAGTCACCCAAGATGTAAAATGAGTCCTCCCATATTGCATGATTCTAGCATGCACACATCTCTCCACCCTCCCACATTTTAATTTCTTTGAAATTGGCATGTATCTTATAACCAGAGGCATCTCAGAGTTGTCATTGGCCCAGCAACAATTAAGGGTTGGGTTTTACTATCTGCATGTTCAAACTTGCTTATCGTTGCACATTGTATAAGGGTGTGTGTGCTCAAAAATCCCAGGAGGAGAATGGAGAAGGGACTGTGGCATGGCTCTCTCTCCTGGGGGGTGATTGCTCCCTTGCCCCTCACTGTCTCTCTCTCTGGTGAGTGTACACACCCTCTGGCAACAAAACAAAACGAAAACCAAAAAATAAAAACAAAACCCCAGAACAAAACAAACAAGTCTTAGAACTATTACACTTTATTTGGTATTGAAATTTAAAGTTTCTGTGTATGAGAAGAGACCTGGGGATGCAGCTGTGGCGCATCAATTAGATGTCGAAGAAGCAAATGTTATTGTTAAAGAAATGACAAAACTTGCACATAAGAAGCTGCTTACAAGTTGTCTATACATTCTGATGGTACCTAAAATGTTGATGCACAGAAAAAAGATGATAAGAAAATATGTAGAAATTTAATAATGATTCTCTCCCAGAAATGGGATTGTGGATGATGTCTATTCATGAGTCTGATTTTTAACTGAGTAGGGATTACTTTCATAATTAGAAAAAGTATTAAAAACTCTTTTACTACTATAAGTAGGAAACTTACATAAAGCTGTAAAACAAATTTGTTATGCATATTTCTTTTTCTTTTCTTTTCTTTTTTTTTTTTTAGAGGTTTTTCACTATAGGGCGCATGTGCTCACCAGACAGACAGAGAGAGACAGAGAGACAGAAGCGAGAAATCACCCCCAAGGGGAGATGGCCACACCGCAATCCCGTCTCCTCCATTCTCTTCTCGGGATCTTGGGCACGCATGCACACGTGCCTGGTGTGAATTTAAGCCACCAGGTCCAGGATGCGAACCACGGTCGACTACTGGGAGTCCAGCGACATAGCCATTACGCTAACTGCTGGTTCCCTTATATTTTATTTTTCTTCATCTTGTCCTTTCTCCTACGGCAGATTTTACGGCCGGAAGATGGTGAATATCTTGATGGCAAACGCTAAGTTTGATGCATTTCTGAAGCAGTCCCTCCCATCTCACGACTTGCGGAAGGTCATGGCGGCCATTAAACAGAGGGTGAGCTGCTGAAGTGGAGTGGTCTTTAGGGGTGGGGGTGTCAAAGCTGAGCTGGATAGCCCTTATGTGGGTCAGGAGAGTGGGGAGTGGATTTCTCCTGATTTCCATCCCCTGTGCTCATACCTGATTCTGCCTCTCTGCTAATGTTCCTCAAGCTTCCCTGGGCACCTACCACTTTGTCAGGTGGGGAGCTTGAGCTCCACCCTAGCTACCTCTAGGGCTCTGGAAAACTCAGCTGGGAGCTCAAAACTCTCTTGGGGTCAGGGGTTATTTCTCTTGTTCTGATCTGGGAGTTCCCCAGATGCCACTCTTTTTGGCTCATGTTTTATGTGTATTTCAAGGGACTAGAAGATAATGATGAACTTCCATCTGCCAAAGGCCAGAAGGTGTCCAGGAGTCTGGTGGTGTGTGAGAACGGGCTGCCCATCGAGGAAGGGTATGGCTGCTCTTGTCTCTGTGGGGCTCTACCTGCAAGACTGCCCAAGAGGTGGCCTGCTTGCTCATGGCCAGGGATAACTCTGGCCTGGGTGTGAGGAACCAGGGTCCAGCTGAGACCTAATTGGGTCTAGAGTACTAAGGGATGAAATGTTAGTCGCCAGAGGGCGTGGTGTACTTGCCAAAGAGAGAGAGAAAGAGAGAGGGAGAAATTATCCTCAATGGGGGCATGGTCATGCCACAATCACTTGTCCTCCATTTCTTCATCCTGTCAGGATTTTGGACCCACATGCCATCCACATGGTGTGTTTTTCAAGCCACTAGGGCTAGGATAAATACAACAGCCAGCCAAATGGGATCTGGCTCCCTTAACTGCTAGGCTATGAGATTGCTCCACTAGTGGGTAAATTTATAGGATATTTTCCTCCACCCATATCTTGGGGAGACCAAATCCTAGGTTCAGGAGCCTCTGTCAGAAAGTTGGTTTCTGGGGACCAGCAGTTAGCATAATGGCTATGTCGCTGGACTCCCATGTAGTTGACTGCAGTTTAAGTCCTGGACCCAGTGGCTTAAACTCACGCCAGGCACACGTGTGTACGTGCCCAAGATCCCGAGAGGAGAATGGAGGAGAAGGGATTGCGGCGTGGCCATCCCCCTTGGGGGATGATTTCTCGCTTTTTGTCTCTCTGTCTCTCTCTGTCTTTCTGGCGAACATACGTGCCATATAGCAAACACCTCTCCAAAAAAAGAAAAAAAGAAAAAAAATAAAGTTGGTTTCTGGAGACCTGGCCAAGTGGCTGCAGTTCTGCTAATAGAGGCACGGCGCATTGCTGGTTGTGTTCTGCATGAACTCGGTGTTTCTCCATTCACTTAGATCACCAGGTTGGCAGCCAGGGACTAGTCCAGTGGGACAAAGAGAGATGAGAAAGCATGGGCTGAGGAACTGGAGAGTGGCTGCTGGGAGCACTGCAAACCAAGCAGGGATTGGTGGCCACTGTTGTGCTTAACCCTTAAGCCCTCTGCAATGTCCTGGAAGGATCAAATCTGAACTTCTTAGCAGGGCATCAGGGAAGCCCCACCCACTCTCCAGTAGGAACTTCCTGCACGCTCCCACACATCCTCTCTCAGCCAGACCCGGGAAGCTTGTGTTCCCTGCCTCTGTGTCCTCGCTCCCTGCTCTGCCTTTGCCTCCGCCATGCTCTCTACACCTAGGACTTGCTTCTACAAGATTCCGTTCACCTGTTGCCTTCCCCAGGAGCTCTGACACCCTGTGTCCCATGCCTGTAGGGTGGACAGGCTGCCTCCCTCTTCTTCATACCTCCGTCAGCCCAGTTGACTTCCCTGTCCTCCCTGACCCCGTCTCTCGTTTCACTGTTTGTGCCCAGCATGGCTCTTGGCATAGGAGCCAGTGTAGCGGATGCAAAGACAAATGAGAGAGGATGTTAAGCTCTGTGAGTGAGATCTGGGAATACAGCCTGCAGCTACTCTCAGACTGGCTGGAATGGGCTCAGGGTTGTGACAGGCATATGGGATCCAAACGTGAGAGAGTGGGCCTTCTTCTCATTTGCCCTCAGTGGCTCCTTCGTGTTAGCAGAACCTAGCTGCCCAGGATTGGGGTACAGGCACCAGGCACAGCTGAGGTATGACGACTACCAAGATCTTTCCCCACGCTTTGATTACTTGTGCCATCTTTTCAAGGGTATCTACCCCTTCCCCATTCATCACTAGTATCCTGAAAAGAGAAAACAAGGGCATGAGAGAGAGAGAACCCTGCTCCCTGACAAGGGAATGGATCCCTAGGCAATTAGATTGTTGTCCCCTGAGGAAATGAGATGTCCAGAGTTCCCCAGGCCAGTATTTCCAAGCAGCAGGTGAAAGAGAAATTGGGGGTCGGTTAAGGTGCAGGTGACACTGTTGTCTGCCTTGCCTGCCTTTGGAAGAGGGCATGGGACCAGAGGTGTGTTCCCCAGGGTCAGATGCTCCTTTCACTTAGGTTTGGCTCCAGTGGCCTGCGGCTGGTGAGGCCACGCTTCTTTATGCGGGGTGGTGGTGCTGAGATGGTGGAGCAGCTGCGGGAGCTGACACGGCTGCTGGAGGCCAAGGACTACCAGTCTCGAATGGAAGGTGTGGGGCGTCTCCTTGAGCACTGTAAGACCAAGCCAGAGCTCATCGCTGCCAACCTGGTCCAGGTGAGCACTGCCCTCCCCGTCCACCCTCCTATGTCTCCTCTCTGAGTGCAACTTCATTGTGGAAAACTCTCAACAGGTTGGACATTGTGCCAGACTTCTTAGGGTAAAAGAAGCCTGATACCTGCTTGTTTTCCAGTTGGCCTTTATAATGCCAGTTACTTGCTAGTGGCCAAGGGAGTGAGGCCCTGTCTTTTGCCAGGTACCTTGGATACCCTGGATGTCAATCATCCATCCGGCAGATTTATTGCAAGGGGGATAGGAGGGAGAGGACACTGTGGCTGAGACCGTGGGTTGCTTTGGCTAGCTATGTACATAATGCTTGGGGGTGGAGCATGGGGTTGAGTCACAGTAACTGGTCAGGTGGGTTAAGAGCAGATATAGACCTTTCTCAGACGGAACCGGGCAGATGCCTGCTTTCTCCTGGTGTGAGGCTGCTGATGGCAGCCCTGTAGTACAGTAAAGACACAGGCTCGGACTCAGTAGACCTGGGTGTCCCTCTAAGTTTCTCATAGCTGTGTGATCAGAGGCAAGTCATTTGACCTCTTCGAGCCTCAATTATTATTACTGTTTAAGGAAAAGTGGGTGAGAATGATCTTACCAGCCTGTGAAGCACATGGTTAGAAGATCTTTACTAAAAGATCTTTTAGTAAAGAGGAGTGCCAAGTTCCCACCAAGATGCTCTGATGCTTGGCATGCAACGAGTGTTCAATACATGTCAGTTACTCCCTCTAACCTCCTCTCCCTCTTTTGAGGTGGGCTCTTCATCACTGAGAGTATTATGGCATGGTAGGATGATCTCTGTCAAGGGTGGTTGGTTGGGGCCAGTGAGCTCCAGGGTTCTTCTGCTGTGGGACTCTGGCCCAGCCTAGTTCCATGGGCTCTTGGTTTCTGTTCCTTCAATAGGTCTTTGATGCTTTCACCCCAAGGCTTCAGGATTCCAACAAGAAAGTGAACCAGTGGGCGTTGGAGTCCCTTGCCAAGATGATCCCCCTCCTTAAAGAGAGCCTATACCCCATGCTGCTCTCCATCATCATTGCTGTTGCAGACAACCTCAACTCCAAGAACTCAGGGATTTACGCTGCTGCTGCAGCTGCACTGGATGTAATGATTGAGAGCCTGGGTGAGCATCCTACCTTCCTGCTTGGGAATCAGCAGAGGTTAAACGACCTGGTTGGTTCTTGGGCCATACATTTTTCTCAGAGGCTGTATAGGGCAGGAGTGGACATCCTAGGGCCTTTGGGGCTCTTGGCTAGCAAGGTTATCACTGTCACATCCACCCATGTGTCTTGATGATTAGATAGAGAATCAATGTGGAGGCGACCTAGTCTAGCCTCCCTGTAGACAGGAGCAAGAAGTGACTACAGCTGGTGAGTCAGGTGAGCTGGAGAAGGCTTAAATTAGGCCAGGGCTGGGAGGAGGGCATTTGTGTGATGGATAGGGAGGGAGGGTGGAGTGAAGGTTGGAGAAGGGAAGAAAAACCAACAAAAAGAGAACAATGGAAGAGGCAGCTGGGAAGGTGACAGCGTCTCTGTTCTTCACGTGCATCATGACTTGCTTCTTGAACACCAGGTAGAATGGTAGGTTCAAGTACCTCTCTCCTATTCATTTCAGAGATGATTAGAAGGAGTGCTGTGGTGTGTCCAGCACATATACTGAAGTGCAAGTTCGTAACTCCCAGTGCATATGAGAAAGCGGTGCACAAGCAGGTGTATGTCTAGGTCAGTAGGATGCATTTTTCACAGATGAACCTTGCCTCAATGCAGGGGAGTTTATCGTCTGAGGACTGCCTTCGCTGGCCTCGGTGCTGTGTGTTCTGATGAACACAGAGCAATGTTTGCCTTTAGTGTTTGCAACCATCCCACGGTGAGGCTGGAAACAAGTCCTGGCACACTCATCCCTCCCTCCTCCCTCCACCCTGGCCTGGGCTCAGCTTCCTGGGGCTGTGACAGCAGCCGTGTCCTTGGCTGAAGCCTCCAGGAGAAGTTTCAGTTACAAATCAAAGGCCTGGTCAGGCCCTTCCCTGCCTTTTGAGTTCATAAATATTGTCAATTTCCCCTCTTCATCTCAGAGGGAATTTATGATTTGCTGAGTTTGTTGCTGTAGAACAAACAATATAAATCCAGCTCTAAATTATGGCTTGTTCTCAGCGCTGCTCTGGGTAAGTGAGATTGCTGTTGCCAATAACCAAGGCTCTTGGTAAATCACCGCAGGCCCTGGATTTATTGGGAAAGCCTGCACCAAGCAAAATAGGCTTTAGTTATTTGAAGAGGATAAGCACCCTTGTCTGGGGAGAGGAAATTTTAACTCTTCCCCTTCCAGGTGTTTCCGTTGTCACTTTTGCTGTTGGGCCAACCTCCTTGAGCAGACAGGACTTTGGAGCTTCGGTCAACAGAATCTGGTGTCTCATATTGTCATAGACTCAGGTCCTCTTATGCCCAGAGACCCGTTGTGCCCACTTGGGCTGGGTATTCTGGGAAGAGAGCCTGAGGATGGTCTGCTTTCGTGACCTGACCATGCCTTAAGGGGTGCAGGTGCCAGGAAGATGCCGACAGTTCTCCCTTCTGGGACAGGACCTGGTGGAATATGGCTGGTGATGCCTCTCCTGGCCCATCAGCCACAGGCGTCAGTGTGGGGAGAATGGAGGCAGATGTGAAGGGCGCTGCTTTCCTCTCTCCCTCTCAGGTCCGTGCTTAGACTAGGAAGGAATGATGTGGAACCCAAGGGTTGAGTGGAGCCCAGTACATCCCTGGCTAAAGGCTTCTATGGAGCCCAAAGAGTGGAATACCCTGTCTTGGCTCCAGGTAATCTCTGAGCTGGTGTGGCAGTGGGCTGTCTGGGTCAGATGGCTTCGCTGTGAGCCACATTCTCAGCCCAACTGGCAACACTGACTTTGAAGGTGTTCTTAACTATCAAGTGACAAGCCGATTTCTACATCATGTGGACTAGAACTGGGGGAATTTAGATTATCCACAAGGGGGATTCACCATTGCCAGGGAGTACCAAGGGTAGAGTCAAGCTCCTTATGTGAAGTGTTCTCTTTTTTCTGCCTGGAATGGTCTAATGTCTAACCGTGGTCTGCAGAGGAAAAACGGGTGTGAACGACTGAACTTCTCAGTATCCCAGGGGACTGCGTGGCAGCGGCAGACACTGAGGCTGGTGGGACAGGGAAGAAGGGGCTCAGTCTTCCCAGATCACCCAGGCTGAGACTGGTGGTGCTAGTGGTTTCTTGGGGGTTTGGGGGACACTTAGCACCCTGAGGCCCCTCTTGAAAGTGGGGGATTCCTGGAGGGGTCATCTCCCAAGCCTTCTTCTTCATGTCCCACAGGCGTGTTGGGCACCAGGCTGGGGAGAAGCTGCTAAATGCCATGAAATGCTGAGATGTGGCGAGTCACAAAGCAACAGCACAGCTCCTTACTCTTTTCTGCTAAATGTGGGGTTGAGGGTATCAAGAACAGGGCCCGGCTAGGCTGTCTTCTGGCACAAAGTCCACATCACACAGTCTAATCAGGGAGGCTGGCCTTCTTAGGCGACCTCTTAAGATCCCTCTTGACTCTGGAATTCAGTGATAAAGAAGACCCATTAGTCAAAATCATCTCTTCTTTTTCCTTAGTTTTCCCCAGGGTGGGTGGCATCGAGTGGTGTGTTGATTGACAGAGCAGATGGAGATTTCGGCTCAGGTTCCCTCTTTGGGAGGGCAGTGAGGGAGGAGGCATGTTGGCCAGCTCGCTCCCTGACCCCCTGCCACTTGTCATGCCTGCCTGGGGGCCCCTTTGGGGTTGAGGCTCAAGTGGCACCCTTCCTAGTCAGCACTGAGACCTTCTGACTTCAGGGAAATTATTCCAGGGATTAAGGAAGTTCCTGAGCAGCCTGTCTTTGGGCACTGTTATTGGGTTAGTTGCAGAAGAAACTTCGCTAATTAAAACATCAAGCTGCTGACGGCCAATCCCCTCCTGGTCAGACCTCTGCATCTGGCTTCTCAGGACCAAAGGGATTCTCTTAAATTAGACCAGCCACTGGCCAGTGCTGGTGTGAGCAGATAAGCTTGGAGTGGGGGTGGCTTCAGATCTAATTTTGCTATTTTGCTCTCTGACTTCAAGTTTATTACCTTGCATAAATTATATGACCAATATTATATATTGTTAATGGAATTTAAAAAGTCGCCCATGATGCCCTTCCAGTATACCAACTACATAAAAATAGCTCTGTTACTTTCTCATCTCCACGTATACAAATTCACCTGGTTAAAAATCCTAATGTAAATTCCGTTTTGATTTGGCTTTTTTTCATCTAACACTACCCAGTTTCCTACGTGACCGTGTAGTCTTTCCAGTTAAATTAGAAATGTAAAGTTCACTTCCACCACTATAACAGTCATACTTATTAAGCAGTGAGAAAGTGGAAATTACAAAGCATTTGGAAGGAAAAAAAACTCGCTTATAGGTCAAGTCCTGAAAGAAACCGTTATTAACATTTGTCGTTTTTCATTTTCGATTTTGTTCTGTGCCAATTTGTGTACGCAGTTGTGGTTGTATCACACATTTGCATTTTCGTTCTATTAAAATCACAGCATTCGCATCTACATATACACATATACGGTCACTTATAACAGCTCTGTCACCTGGCAGACCACAGCTTATGCGTTTCTGTGAAGGTGGGTCGTTCCCAGTCCTTTCCTGAGAGAACATACCTGGTGTCAGCAGCCGTGGAGACTTCGGTATTGTTGGGAGCTCAGTTGGACTCTACTATCTTTGCTGCCACTGTTTACGTCACTATGATTTTTATGCTTCTTTAAGAGCTCTTACATGGGGGCCAGCAGGTAGCATGGTGGTTAAGGTACTAGACTCCCACATGGCCAATGGCGGTTCAAGTCCTGGGCCTGGTGACTTGCTTTCTCACTTTCTCTTGTGCTCTCTGTCTCTCTCTGGCCAGTGCAAGTTCCCTATAGCAAATTAATAATAATAAATAAAATTAAGTAATTCTTAAAAGAAGAAGAGCCCTTAGATGTTGTCCTAATAGCCTGAGGATATTGTGGCAGAATGGGACAGCTGTGAATCCTTTTGGGCTTCCGTCTCTTTGTGGAGAGGGAGACCCGAGCCAGGGAGCACGGGGTCTCTTGTCTTCCAGTGCTGATTTCTCTCCATGGCAAGGCCAGCCATGGCTTCCTTGTGATATGAAAACCTAGGCCTAGGCTAACAGAACATGAATATACACACACACACACACACACACACACACACACACACATATATATATATATTTAATGGAATTTAAAAATTCACCCATGATCCATGATGTCCTTCCAGTATATCAACGACATAAAAATATCTTGGTTACTTTTGATTTGGCTTTTTTTCATCTAACACTACTATGTTTTTTGAGAGAGAGAGAGAGAGAGACAGAGGCACCTTCAATCGGGTCTTTACTCTGCAGTCTGTCCCCAGATCAGCTGGCCTGAGTCATAGGCCTGTGATTGGCATGCTTGAGGAGGTCTTGGGAGGTGAACCCAGGACCTTTCTCGTGTGGGCCCAGATTAACCACAGTGCCACCACCTAGCCTCGGTCATGATTTTAAGTTTTCTAAAGCTAGATTCCAGTCTCTTAATGGTCTCTCCACCATGAAGGATGCTGAACTTTCAGAGGACTTTAGTCATAACAGTAATGTTGGTTTGTTGGAAAAGCATGGTGTATTTTTGCATAGAAAAACTTACAAAAAACACATGATGACTTCCCCGACAACCTAACACATAGCAATTGTATGCTCTGAGCACTGTGTTAACTCCAGGCCATACACGACTCATTTAATCCCTTAGTAACTCTGTGAGAAAGGTATTAGCATCACCCCGTTTTATAGATAGGCAAACCGGGGCATCAAGAGGCTAAATGGCTGTCCAGTGTTATACAATAAAGCATGAAAGAACCAGTATTCATGGGACCAGCAGTTAGCGTAATGGCTATGTTGCTGGACTCCCACGTAGTCGACTGCGGTTTGAGTCCCGGACCCGAGGCTTAAACTCACGCCAGGTGCGTGTGTGTGCGTGCCCAAAATCCCAAGAGGAGAATGGAGGAGAAGGGATTGCAGCGTGGCCATCCCCCTGGGGGGTGATTTCCTGCTTTCTGTCTCTGTCTGTCTGGCGAGCACACATGCTCTATAGCAAAAACCTCTCAAAAAATAAATAAATAAATAAAAAGAATCAGTATTCAGACCAAGGAACTCTACACTGAGTCTATACTCTTAACCGCTGTGCTTGAACTTGAGTGAGATCTGACTATAAAAGTGGCCAGAGAAAGACAGGCCAACTCCCTGGGCATAGTGCTCCGGGGTTTAAAAACCAGCTTGAGCTAACTGGGTCTCTATTTTGACACAGTGCCAAATACTCTGCAAGCATTTATTGAGTACCTGCTATAGTACTCTGCAAGTATTTATTGAGTACCTGTTGGTGCTAGGCACTGTGAGAGCATAGCCTGGCACAGATGGCTGCCGAAGGTACCTTTTCAAGTCACTTCTTCCTGGCTCTAGAAGGCCATGTCAGGTGCCAAAAGGAAGGGGCCCCAACTCTCTCCATGTGCTAGACTGAGCATCGCAAGAGGCTGCCGAGGAGGCGGAAGTCCTTGTCTGCAGATAAAAGCTCACGGTGAATAGTGGGGCTGAGACTTAGAGAAGCACCTGGAAACAATAACACAGGTGCCACTGATATAAAAACTTATTTTTACACAGTTATAGCTTTAGTGAAACACCCCAAGACCACTCCTTGCTAACTGTAATGTTCTGGAAGCTGACATCTCTTTTGCCTCTCAGGACAAATTATTTTAAAGACTCCTGCTTTGTGGATGGAGCTTTGCAAGCAGCAGAGCTGTTCAAATGCACATGTTCTCCTCCTTACCGCCCACAGGCCTCAGGAGAACAGGGAAGGAGGAAACAGCTTTTAGCTAGATTTGTTGCCTGATAGGAAAAACAAACTTTCAAGTGAACATCTGTGGGGAAGCTGGGACTCCATGCTGAGGGGTTAAAGGAACTTGGTAAAGTCTTGGAAAGACTTCCCCAGGCAGGTCTTTAATCTCGGTCCCCTGCAAAGAAGCCAGCCTTGAGATGGTCAGTTCTTGGATCCTGGAACACCCTTGCTGAGGCTGCTGCGGTGTCACCTACATAGCCTCCTGCCCTCACCTCCCTGACTAGTGGAGGCAAACCCCACAACCACACCCCTCAAAAATGCAGTCGTTTCTAGCATCACCTTTCCTTGAATTGTGCGGTGATCTTTGAGGCTGTAAGATGCTGGGAGCTGGGCCAGCAGGTGCTGCCACGGCAGAGGCAGTCCAGAGGCTAAGGGGAGGACGCTCAGATCTTGTGTGTTTCCTACATTAACACACCTTCGTAGGTAGGCTAGGGCTACTTGCTCACTCTTGTGAGGAATGCAGGACTTCACATTTAATAGTCTGAGAAACCAGGAGATGATGTGGGCTAGAATGAGAGAACAGGCAGCTTCTAAATTCAGCACACACAGGGGTCTGCTGCAGGTGTCTTTAGGAAAACATCCAAGAAGCTGGAAAACCTCCTTCTACCCAAAACACCGCCTACCCCATCTGCTTGTGGTTTCACCAGTAGTGGTTCATTTCTGTACAGACACTCCTACTATTTTAGATCTCTTTCAAGATACAGATGGGAGGTTTTCAGTCCCTGTGTTTCCCGAACAGGCGTGCCTGGGTTGCAGAGTGAGCTGGGGCTGGGTGTGGCCGCAGGCTGGCAGGACTGGGCAGGCGAGGGTGTTCCTCATTTCCCCATGCCTTCTGAAAAGTGAATTGGGGCATATGAACTGCTGTTTTCGCTGGTCTGTGTTTGGTGGATCTGGGACTCTTGACTACTTGGAGTTTACAAGCAAGGGGGAACTCAGACCTACAGTGAGTGAGCTTATATATAAACTACTGAGGATAATACGTCCCCCCTGGGGCCAGAGGGTGGTGAGTAGTAACGCAATGCTCTGCAATGCTGGGCCCACATGGGAATGTCCCAGGTTGCCACCTCGAGGCCTCCCTGTGCATGCTGGGTACACACACTTGCTCTTTACCTGGCCTGGCTGAGGCTGAGGGCAGATCATGGTGTGAAGACCCTATGGGGGAGGCCTGTCTATCTGTCTCTTTCTATTTCTCTCTCTTTCATGGAAGAAATAAACAAATTGAAAAAAAAATATAAGCCTCCTCAACTTGCATATTCCCTCCTGTGGCCCTACGAGAGCCAGGCAGATGCTCTGTTCCTGAGAGGAGACCAACCAGCCTGGGCTCCTAGGATATGGGACTGTCAGTACTAAGATGCGACAGTCCCTGGCAGACCACAGCCTGGGACCCCCAGCCTCTTGATTGCAGGAGCCCAGTGCGTCCCATCCCATGTAGAGTTCTTGCTTAGGTGCCTGTCTTCCCATCAACGTGATGAGCCTCTTGAGAGGGACCAGGTGATCATGTTTTACTTACTTCTAAGCTCCATGTCTGTTACATAGAGGAATGCTCAGTGCCGGGGGGAAGGTGTGGACATGTCTTATTGGATGGAGCATGAGTTCAGGCTTTGAGGAGAGCCATGAATTCCTTTTTAAAAATATTTTAAAAATATTTATTTTTAATTATTTATTATCACCATTCTTAATTTTGACCAGAGAGAGACAGAAAGTGAGAAATCACACCCCCCGGGGGGGGATGGCCACGCTGCAATCCCTTCTCCTCCATTCTCCTCTTGGGATCTTGGGCACGCACGCACATGTGCCTGGCGTGAGTTTAAGCCATCGGGTTTGGGACTCGAACAGTGGATGACTACGTGAGAGTCCAGCGACATAGCCATTACACTAACTGCTGGTCCCACCATTCTTAATTTTGACCAGAGAGAGACAGAAAGAGTGAGAAAGCAGGTCAGCCACATTGGAGTCTAGCACCTCAACCACTACGCCACCTGCTGGCCCCGATTTTGGAATTCTAATCCCAACCCTTTATTGATTTTGATGTGACCATGGCTCAGTGCCTCAGTTTGCCCTAAAATAATATCAGTATATCCATCTATGCACCCAGCCATCCATCTCTGTTATCTGTCATCTAGCTGTCTCTGTCACCTACCCACCCTCTTTTGCCCCAAGCACAGACGATATGAACCAGATTGTGGAAGTAAATGAAGTCTGTTTGGGAGCCAGTTTAACTCTTTAGGCCTCTCATTCTTCCTCAAATACCCTTGGTACTTTCACTTTCTAATGTGGCTCCACTGTGATCTAGAAAAATTAATTTCCTAAAGGCCTCTTCGCCAGGCAGGTCTGTGGGCAGCAGGCACTGTGAACACTCGGGGCTGTTGCTTGGTCCACAGCACTGTGGTCACTGATCTTCTCTGTCTTTTTCAGACAACCTTTGCCTCCTACAGGCATTTGCTGGGCGGGTGCGTTTCCTGAGCGGCCGTGCGGTGCTGGATGTCACAGAGCGTCTGTCAGGTGGGTCCCCAGCCCCCCCTCTCCAGCCTCCCAGTCCAGCTCTGTGCTTCCCTCCTGGCTTGCGGTTGGACCACCCAATCACTTACCTTAGACCTGAAACAATCCCTAAAGATCATTTAAAGTTTTGGGACCAGCAGTTAGCGTAATGGCTATGTCACTGGACTCCCATGTAGTCGACTGTGGTTCAAGTCCCGGACCCAGTGGCTTAAACTCACTCCAAGTGCGTGTGCGTGCGTGCCCAAGATCCCGAGAGGAGAATGGAGGAGAAGGGATTGTGGCGTGGCCATACCCCCTGGGGGGTGATTTCTTGCTTTCTGTTTCTATGTCTCTCTCTGTCTGTCTGGCGAGCGCACGCGCCCCATAGCAAACACCTCTCCAAAAAAAAGAAAAAAAAAAAGATCATTTAAAGTCTTGATAATCTGCTTTTTTGAGATAATCTCTACTTTTCCAAGAAGACAATCTTTGTTTCTGACCAAAATGAGGCAGAACCCCAAAGCTTTTAAGAAATGATTGTGCGTGTCTTCCTCTTTGCAAACAGAGCTTCCTTTAGCCCTTAGAGCGCCTCTGTGAGAATCAGTAAGACTGGCCACTAGACAGACACTGCCCAGTGGGTGCGTGACTCAGTCCACACACAGCAGTCATGAGAACAGAAAAGTGATCCCTTCTTTGGTGTACACAGCCTGGCAAGCAAAGCACTGGCTGGATTTCAAGCCTGCTTGACCTCTGGGCCAGGTGCTGGGACTATAGGAGAGAGGTGTTCAAGAAGTTTGTGAAAAATATGTGTTATTTAAAAACTAAGAATGGATTTCATTTTTTTTTTTTGCACCATAATAAACTTGTACTTTAGTTCTCTTTTCCCATGAACTTTTTAAAAAGAGGTTTTTGCCATAGGGCATGTTTGCTCGCTGGAGAGAGAGAGAGAGAGAGAGAATATGAGAGATCCCTATGCAACCCCTTTTCCTCCTGGGATCTTGGGCATATATGCACTTACGCCAGGCATGATTTTTTTTTTTTGGAGAGATTTTGCTATAGGTCATGTGTGCTTGTGGGCAGGGGGAGGGAGGGAGGAAGGGAAGGAGAGAGAGAGAGAGAGAGAGAGAGAGAGGTAGGTAGGTAGGTCATCCCTCAGGGGGTACGTCCACACCACAATCCCTTCTCCATTCTCCCCTTGGCATGCGCACACATGCACCAAGCGTGAGTTTTAAGCTACTGGGTCCAAGACTCAAACTGACATAGCCATTACGTCATTTGCTGGTTCCCCTCCATGAACTTAATTAATTAATTAATTTATTATTTTAATTTATTTTTATTATCATCATAATCTTCTTTATATTACATTGGATTGCATATAACTTTACAGTGTATTACATTGCTTTTTCAAAAGGGAGTGCCATGCAAGTCAGTCAGTACAAAGACATTAATCTCCCTGCTTCAACATTCGATATCTTTTCATTATTTTTCCCAATCATTATTATTATTATTCTAATTATTTTTTAAACAGTCAATCACCGTTTCTCATTTTGCTTGTAAAAAGACTTTACCCATCATGAAATACTTCTCAGAACAATCCAGTTGAGAATACTATACATGTCATCATCAATAGGTAATAAGCCATATCTGTTTCCCACTAACGTCCTGTCTCTCTATTTGTTCTCTTGCTATCTTTCTCTATCCTCTCCCATGAACTTTTTGAAATCCTTTTATATTAGAGATCTGCCTTGGCCTGAATCTGCTGGGCCTTGTTTGAGCTTCAGCTGAGGGAAGGTTGCTTCAGTTCTATTTCTGCTTTGACTCTGCAGAATAAGCCTTGAGTAATTTGATTCCAGGGTTGAAACCTGTCCCTGTGGCCCAAGAGTTGGCAACACAGAAAGGACATAAGCTTTGGGGTCAACGGACACACTGAACACCTGCCAGCTCCCACAGGTTATTAACATAGGTCTATCATCTCTTTTGCTCCCTGATCCACCCTGATTTTGGTTGGCCTAATCAAGGGAGGGGACAGGAGGACTCAGTCTATTTTCTGGACTTCCAAGAGGCCTCTTTAAATACAGATGAATTGTGCCACACCCTGCTTACATCCTTGTGTGGCTTCTGAGTTGTCTTCAGGGTAGTGCCCTGGCGCCCTGAATGGCCAACAAGATCTGGCACTGCCTGCTCTTGCTTGTTCTCTAACTGTGCCCCTTCTTCACACCTCCAGATATATGCACTGGATCATTTAAAATTTTTTCTTTATTTATTTATCTCTATTAATTAATTTTTCCCCCACACAATCACTGTATTATTACAGCATACCAAATGAATTTTCCCATCATGAATGCACTGTATATTGGACCAGACAAAGATAGTACCATATGCATTATCATCAGCAGATAATTTTCCATTTTTGTGTCCCTTAAATGTTTTGCTTCTTTCTTTTCCCCCTTGATTCCTTCCCTCCCATCCCTTTATTGCTCATCACTCTCCCACACTGTCTCTAGTCTCCACACTTTCTCTCCATGACTTTCTACCTTCAAATCTTTCTGTTTCTGCCATAGAGTGCAGACATTCAGTATATATTGAGTGGGGACATACAGTGCCTCTCTTTCATAGTCAGGCTTGCTTTGCTTAGCAGTAAATCTTCCATATTGTTCCACTTTCTATCAAATGCCAGGATCTCATTGTTTTTTATGGCTGAGTAGTATTCTGAAGTGTATATGTGCCATGCTTTTTCAACCCATTCATCTGTAATCCTTATCACAACCTCATAGGGATGATGTACATTCTGTTATTATCCCTCTTGCAGAGATAAGGGAAATGGGGCTCAGAAACATTAAGGGCCCAAGGTCCCTTGGAGAGTAATCCAGGATTTGTCCCAGTAGCCTGGTTGTGGAGCCAAGCCCTCCACACTGTGCCAGGCTGCTGCTTCCTGAGTGGTCCCTGCCCTGCCCTCCTCAGCACTACCATGCTGCTCTCCTCAAAGCAGCCAGTATCCTACCCTATCACCCTGCCAGCTCACATGTAGCTCATGTCCTCTCTCCACCCAACTGGGCAGTGTCCACTTGGTTCTGGTACCTGCTCCCCTGCTTCCGCCATCTTCCTCCTCCTTGTGAGCTTCTCTAGAGATGTCCCACATTAGTGTCACCAGTCTCAGCCCTTGCCTTTGCAGGCTTAGGTACTTGGGGGTGCACTTGGGGTGCTCTCTATGTGCTCCCTACTGAGGATGTCGATGCCTGAGTCTGGTTCCAGCCTCACTTCTTTCCCATTGCTTGCTCCTGGGGGTGCTTCTGGGCCCTAGTTCAGTCTTCCCAGCATCCCTGGAGTGAACCCTTATCTCTGGTTTCAGCGCCAGACTTTCCCAAGTAGGTGGGGTGAATAAGAATGGGTTGGGGGTTTTGATGGCAATCACAGTGCAATGCCATGGGTGTCTTTGGGAGAGAATAGAGACACTGAATGAGGACCACGCTGTGGACTAGACAAGGAACCTTTTCAGTTGCTCAAAATCAATCGGCCTTCTCTGAGGCAGAACATTGCCTGTCCTTGCCTAAGTAATTCCACTCAGAGGTGGGTGAGTGTCCTCACTTTAGATGATCCACTTACTGTCATTTTTTTTTTTCTATTTATTTTCAATAGACCTCCAAAACAAGATTTTCCTATAGCTCTTCTACTAACTTGGTGTCTGCCAGAAAAGAAGAGAATTTCCATTGACACCAGGCATGGACTAATAATAGCACGGCTTAATAGGAGTAAATCTTTTGCTAATTACTTCAGCTGGCTTCTAAGCTCGAGTTTAATGGGGTTTGCTTCTCATGATGGTTCCCAGAAGGGCCTCTGCTGCCTTTGCCAGCTTGAGGAGCTGACCTCTGCCAGCCAGGTGACTTCCACATCTTTGCACCTGGGGAGTGTGGCTCAGGTAGCCTGAGTTTTGTCAGTCAGGATGTGAGCCCAGAAAGAAGCATTGGCTTGTAACATGAGCTTCTTCCTGAGGTAGAAGCTTCTAGAGCCAGAGTGTAAATATGCCTTCTTCCTACTTGGAGGGCAAGAGTCCAGGCAGGAGGAGCAGGTCAGGTATAGCAGGATGTGGAAGGGGCATGTTTAGGGTCAGGTGGACCCACTCACAGGTTAGGGTGGAGAATCTGGACCTGGGCCTGGTTCTTGGAATACTTTTCCCTTTTTATGTATTTATTTTTTCCCCCTAATTTTCGAAATTGTATTAGAGTGATGCATTTCATGTTATGTGTATTTAAATACACTTAGTACACTTGTAATGTTGTGTACCCTCACCATCACCCATTTCCAGAGCTCTTTTCATCTTGTAAAACCGAAACTCTGTCCCCATTCCACATTGCACACTAACTCTGCAGTCTCTGCCCCCCAGTCCCTGGCAACCACCATCTCACTGTCTGTGTTGCTGACTGCTCCAAGGATATCATGTATGTAGAATCATACAGTATGTGTCCTTTCTTGTCTGGCTCACTTCCTGTAGCATGATGTCCTCATGTTCTAGCATGTGTCAGAACCTTCTTCCTTTTCAAGGCCAAATTGCATTCCATTGTAAGTGGGTATAACATTTCATTCACCCATTCATCCCTGATGGACACTAGGGTTGCGGCCACTTTTAGCTCCTGTGAGCAGTGCTGCTATGAACACGGGAGTGTACGTGTCTCTGTGCACTCGCACCTTCTGCTGCAGGTGAGAGCCCAAGGAGATTCAGGAAGCCCCCGAGGCATGGTTGCTTGGTGTGGGCAGTTCATCAGGACCATTTGTTTTCTTCTGGTGCTCTCTTGCTGCTCCCCTCCTCTCCTCTCCCCCATCACCCTGCCCTTGGGTTGACTGCTTCCTGTTACCTGAGCTCTTCCTCCTAAGCCTGCTTCAAGCACAGGGAACATAACTCTTTCTATCTAGTGCCTTTCTCTGCTCCCTTTCTGGGAGCCTTTTCCAGTGACTGCTGACGTGTCTGGGCTGACACCAGGGTTCCTTCTCATAATGAGGATCACTGCCACGTCTGAGGGTTCTGTGACACCTGTAGGTCCCCAGGAAGTCCGAAAGTGTGGACTGCAGAAACCCTGAGGGCAACATGCACCTTCCATGAGAAATGGCACCGTGAGAGTGCCAGGCTGAGCCAGAGGGGGCTCAGGAATCCTCTTTGGTTCCCCATTTTCCCAGGTTAGCTCTGAAATCAGTGGGGCCCCTAGGGACTGCTGGGAGATTGGATGATCAGAGGACAGATTGGGAGTTTCATTAAAACTCCAGCCTCTGAAATGTGGAACCCCGAGAAGTTCAGGGGGCAGCATGGCCTGGAGGGAGCCTGGGCTTCAGAGCCAAGACAGATTTGGCCTGTGTCCCAGCTCTGCCTTTACCAAGGAAAACTCCTTGACGTGAGTCTCGCTTTCCTTCTCTATTAGGTTGTCAGGGAAGTCATGATGTATTTTTCTGTTTCCATGCAAAAATGCATCATGACTTTCCTGACAACCCGATAGAGTGGATGAGTGTCCTGCATCTCAGGGGTGCTGTGTGTGTGGAATGGAACCACAGGGTGAAGATCCAAGGCCTAGACTCAACTGGTTCCAGGGGTGTGGCTTGACTCATGGAACCTTCTAGTTTCTTTGCCCCCTAAATCAAAAAAGCACGGCTCTCTCTCCGTGTTGTTGGCTATCACCAGATCTCTTGCTTTGGTGGGATAATAGGTGTGAATTGTAAAGGAAGCATCTTTAGTGCTAATGCCCGTGGGGGACAGCAGTCACAGCTGAAGGCTGGAGCAGCCCCCTCTGCAGGGGCCTGGATAGTCCTCATGTGTGTTTTTTTTTTTTTTTCTTTTTTTGGAGAAGTTTTCGCTATAGAGCGCATGCACTTGCCAGAGAGACAGAGAAAGAGAGACAGAAAGCGAGAAATCACCCCCCAGGTGGGATAGCCACGCCGCAATCCCTTCTCCTCCATTCTCTTCTCTGGATCTTGGGCACGCACGCACACGTGCCTGGCGTGTGTTTAAGCCACCGGGTCTGGGACTTGAACCATGGTCGACTACATGGGAGTCCAGTGACATAGCCATTATGCTAACTGCTGTTCCCCCCATGTGGTTTTGACCTTGACTGAAGCCTCACTTTTACTGTGATGATAGAGGGTTAGCCAACACGTCCAGTTTCCGCCTGGGCTTTCTGCAGTTTGGAGAGGGATGGGACCCTTGGGTACAGGATATGGGGGCGGGTGCTCATCACTAAAATGGAGAAGCTGTGCAGAGCTCAAGGGTTTACAACATGTTCATACCTCATGGAAAACTCCTGCTGGTCTTTTGAGGCTTGGCATCCTGGCGTTGGGCAGGCCATGCGGGTTGCATCCCCTGCTGGCTGTTTCATCTGTCAAAATGCTTCATTCGAGAGTCTCGACTTCTTTTGCTTGTACAGCTTTCTCTGTGTTTATGGGAGCTCCCTTAGGTGGTGGTACAGATTAGTGCAATACTACTGCTAAATGCCACATGTCACCAGGTAGGCACTTGCCTATATTAATGATTGAACCTCTAGCAGTCTTGTGACCTCAGTTCAGGATTATTATCCTTGCCTTGCAGATTTGGAAAAGGTTCAGAAAGGCTGAGTGACTTTCTCAGGTTCACACAGCCAGTAGGTAAAGAAGGTAGAAGGTAACCAGGGGAGTCTGCCTCTTTCCTCTCCCCTGGGCTACAGGGGCCCATTATGGTTATCTTGGACTATGGGCACTTTAGCCTTTGCATAGCCTTTCCTCCATAAAAATTTTGAGAAAATTGCTCACACACACATTTTAGACAGCGTCTTCTATGTTGCCTAGGCCAGTCTTGAGCTCTCGCTATCCTCCTGCCTCAGCCTCCTGTCACTGAGATTAGAGGTGCACGCTGCCATGCTTGGCTAAAAACTATATTTCATGACTGGTTGGTATACATATAAATAAAAATATAAACCAGGCTGGGCATATTCATTATTTTTCTTCTGTTGTTAAAAGAAATAAAAACAGGGGCTACTGGGACATCATAGTTAAGGCTCTGGACTCCCACATGGCCAACCATGATTTAAGTCCCAGATCTGATGACTTGAAACTCATGCCAGGCATGTATGTGTATGTGCCCAAAATCCTGAGAGGAGAATGGAGCAGGAGGTATTGTGGTGTGGCCATTCACCCTGGGGAGTAATTTCTCACTGTCCATCTCTGTCTCTCTCTGTCTCTCTGGAGAGTACATGTGCCCTATAGCAAAAATCTCTCCCAAGACAAACAAACAAAGAAGAAACGAAAACATGTTCACAAGCCTCTAAGCATGTCATGGACCTTAGGCATGAGCCTGGTGGGGATGCCAGCTCTGCTGGGCCGCTCACCCTTTGGGGGACAGAGCTGGTGTCATGACAGAGGATGGCATGAGAGGAAGAGAGTGCCCAGCTCAAGTGACTGTCCCTCTTTTCTGCCCGACAGTGCTGGTGGCCTCGGTTTACCCGCGGAAGCCTCAGGCTGTGGAGCGGCATGTCCTTCCCATTCTCTGGCACTTCCTGAACAACAGGATCGGGAACGGCGTCCTGCCTGGGCACAGTGGGAATATCCGCACCGCAGTGCGCCGGCTGTCCAGGAGCCTCCAGGAGCAGATGGGCTCCCACCTGCAGGACTTCGCCTCTGGCCAACCGCAGCACGTGCTCAGAATGCTCCAGGAACTCTTAGACCAGGAGCCCCCGGGAGGCAGCCGCAAGGTGGCTGGCAGAACCACAGCGCCGGACAGCAGGCCCACTGACAGCTCACACCCCTTTCAACCGGATTAAAGATGGATGTAAAATGGACAATTATTATTGCCTACCTTATTTTATTTTTATGATGGACTAATCTCCTGGTCTACTTTTCTGCTTAGAGTTCCAGATGTATATAGTATATTTTGAAGTAGAAATAAAAGAACCACTTATTTTTCTAATGTTTTATTATCTTGTACTTTTTGAACCCTAGAGAATTTTCCAGTAGCTAGGCTTGTGACCAATAAAATGAAACATGACAATGGCAAAATCATTTCTATATTGAGATGAAGCGTGAGGAATAGAAAGGGCAGCCCATCCAAGGGGACGGTCCCCCATCTGTGAGCAGCAGACAAACCCTCCTGGAACCCAGAGCCCCTGGGTTGGTGGTTGAAATGTGGGCCTTTGTTATCAGCCTGAGTGGAGGTGAGTATAAGAAAATCTCTGGGGATGCTGTCCTTCTTCCACGCAAAATCTTCAGCCCAGCATCTGTGGTCCTATGGGAGCCTTCAGATGGAGCCTGCCCAGCTTATCACAAAGCAAAGGGAACTTGGAATTTGCATTGCTAAAAGTGTCTCTGGAAGCTGGTGTGTTCCAGCTAGTTCTGAAGAGGACAGGATGACACTTGACACACCTGAAGTGGAAACACTGGCAGAGCGAAAGCACCGGGTGGCATGCGATGTCACCCAGGACCTTTGACATCACACAGGTGCCTGTGGCTGCAGAGGTGTTCTGGCTGCAGCGTGGGCCAGGAAACCAGGAAGCAGACAGAGCATGTTGTCCTCTGGCAGAGCAGCCAGTGGACTAAGGTCCTGGGAGTGGCAGGGGGACAGCAGGGACTCAGGCTCTGGACACAGAAGGGGTGGCTTTGCCTTGGCTAGGGTCAGTGGCTGGTGAACAGCAGTGCGACCGCATAGAATTGGAGTTTAGGTGAGGCACAGGTGAGGCAGGCCTGGTAAGGTGAAGGCTGACAGGGCGACATCGCAGCCCTTGGCAAGAAACCGAGACCCAAAAGTCCAGACTGGCCAGGGTCCTGAGCCTCCTGCCTGCATGTTTTCTGGCCAGGGAGCCCTATCTATGACCCCTGCTCCCCAGGTCTAATCAGTTCCACATTACTGTTCTGAGCCTCTCTTGGGAATCTGTCTCTGGGAAGCCCCACATCTACTCCCTTCAGTATTTCTAACCCCAGTGGGTGTTCCTGGCTGGGGCAGCTGCTTTTCCATCTTGCTGTGTTGTCTGGTGTAGCTGGGGTGAGGTTGGACACTGCCAAGTAATCCCTGGACTTGGGCTTTTAATAGGCTTAGGTGTGACTTTGAGTAATTCCAACCCACCTGAGCTGCTGCTCCCTAACTGTGACCCCAGCAGGGGATTCCCTGCAACCGCCTTGTTCATGGTTGATTCTGAACCAGGTAAAAGGCCTGCTAGACAGGGCCAGCCAGAAATGCTCAAGAGGCTGATATTAAATTTTTTTTTAAAGCTTTATATGATTAATTGTGTTAATCTGAGTAATTTTTTTTCAGTTTTGATGACTTGCTTTTTCTGCTTGTCAAGATCCCAGGATATACCAGAATGTGTTAGAAATTTATTATTTTTTTCTATAGGGCATGTGTGCTCACTAAAGAGATGGAGAGGGACCAACAGTTAGTGTAATGGCTATGTCGCTGGACTCCCACGTAGTCAACTGTGGTTGGCATCCTGGACCCGGGGGCATTAAAACTCACGCCGGGCGCGTGCGTGTGCTTGCCCAAGATCCTGAGAGGAGAATGGAGGAGAAGGGATTGCGGCGTGGCCATCCCCCCTGGGGGGTGATTTCTCGCTTTCTGTCTCTCTGTCTCTCTCTGTCTGTCTGGCGAACGCCCTATAGCAAAAACCTCTCAAAAAAAAAAAAAAAAAAAAAAGAGATGGAGAGAGAGAGAGACAGAAAGTGAGAAATCACCCCCACGAGGGCTGGCAATCCCTTCTCTTTCATTCTCCTCTTGGGATTTTGGGCACACATGCACACATACCTGGCATGATTTTCAAGCTACCAGGTTTGAGATTTGAACCCTGGTCGACTATGTGCGAGTTCAGTGATGTAATCATTACACCATCTACTGGCATAATCATGTGTTAGGACTTTTTAGGGTTTTAGGAGCCCACGGACCTAGCGGGTGGTAGGGTTTTGAAGGCAGAAATTAAGCTTGACAGTGTTGTTCTGTCTTCTGTGCCCATCCTTAAACATGAAGCTTTCTGTCCCTGGGTCCTGAGCCCATCCTCATGGGCAGAGGTGCTGAAAATAATTGCAAATAGTGGAAAAGTGAAGAATAAATCATTTTTATTTTTAAAGAATAATTTTATTCTTTCTTTCTCTCTCCTTCCTTCCTTCCTTCCTTCCTTCCTTCTCTCCTTCCTTCCTTCCTTCCT